GCGCGGGCTCAGTTGCCCCACAGCATGTGGGATCCCAGCTTTCCGACCAGGGCTCGAACCCTCATCCCCTGCACTGGAAGGTGGACTCTCAACCACCGGACCACCGGGGAAGTCCCCCCCCCCCCCCGCCCCGCCCCATGTTATTTTATATCAGACAAATAGAAAACACGGCCCAAATGAAGCTCCGTTTACATGCAGAATCTCTAAGAACAGAGTGCATATATGAGTATACTGGGATATGTTTGTCCTCTCAAGGTTGTGGACAGAGATGGACCCAAGGCAAGGCTGGAGAGCAAAGCCAAGGGCCAGACTTAGAAGACAAAACCAGAAGGAATGGGAGCTCAGGATGGGACTGGGCATTCAAAGTCAAGCAAATAGAAGGGAGGGACACCCCACTTAGTACCCAGTAAGAAAAGTGAGCTCTAAGGTCTAGGTGTTGGAACATGCGAAAATTTAGGAGGTTAAGGGAGGAAGAGAGGATTTGCCTTAAGAGAAAGGAGAACAGTGTCATTTTAAGGAAAGTTTGGGAGAAGACAGTTGCAAGCACAGAGGAGGTCAGCAGACTCAGGTGCTGCAAAGGAGAAAGAGGAATGAGACAAAATAACTGGGCTTAACATTCAGAAGTCGTTGTTGACTTTTAAAACTTTCTATGAGAGCAGATGGATAACGTGTATCAAGAGTAAGAAAAAAATGTACACCCTTTGCCCCAACAACTCCACTTTTGGGAATCTTGTCAAAGGAAATAATCCTAAACTTGGAAAAGTTATCCACATAAAGATGTTTGTTACAGTTATTTAGAAGGGAGGAGAATGGAAATAGCCTAAATGCTCAACAAATAAAGTGATGAGCTAAACTGAGGTATGCTCATTTGATGAGATATTAAATTGCCATTTTTAAAGTACAAAGTCAATTTTAAAGCACTATTTCCAACTAAAAGGAGTAAGACTCCCTTAAAAAAATGACTGGTTACATTTTGCAGCAGGGTAAGTACAAGTTGAGTCTGGAACATCTCGTGTGAGAATGCAAGTAAGTGTTTAAAGACTGGCGAGACCAAGTCAAAAGAATGCAGAAGCCTCTTGAAAGGGCTCCTGCTGGCCCAATTTGGGACAGTTTTGAGCATCAAACAGAATGATGATGGTAATGGATTATATCACATTGAATTTTTTTTAAAAAAAGAGTTTTTGAGACCATGGGGATGGGGGGAGGGGGAGGGAGGAGGAAGAGGAGAAACTCTTCTTTACAGAAATGAATGCCAGATAACAAATGCAGGGACTTCCCTGTTGACGCAGTGGTTAAGAATCCGCCTGCCAATGTAGGGGACGTGGGTTCAATCCCTGGTCTGGGAAGATCCCACATGCCGCGGAGCAACTAAGCCCGTGCACCACAACTACTGAGCCCGTGCTCTAGAGCCCACGAGCCACAACTACTGAGCCCGTGTGCCACAACTACTGAAGGCTGTGCGCCTAGAGCCCGTGCTCCACAACAAGAGACGCCACCGCGAAGCCACCGCAATGAGAAGCGCGTGCACCACAAGGAAGAGTAGCCCCCGCTCCCCACAACTAGATAAAGCCCGCGCACAGCAACAAAGACCCAACACAGCCAAAAATAAATAAATAAATAAAAATTTAAAAAACCCCACAAATACAGAATGACAGAGTCATCATTTTGTGATCCCCAGTGTAATAACAAATGTAAGCATAGATCACCAATGGAAGCTAAAACCACTGGATAAAACATGTTGGGAGCTAATAGTCTTAGGTTATTGCACCACAACTTACTTTGTGAAATTGTGAAATGGAGAGATCTGATGGACTCCAACTTAACCAAGTGATCAAGCCTAGCATCACCAATGAAGGACAAATGTGCACTACTGGCTGGCCCGCCAGTGTAACACACTAGAAAGTCCACAACATCCCTCATGTAATGGTCTTTTAAAAACTGTCTAACCTGAATCTAATCATGAGGAAACTATGGAAAAATCCAAAATGTGCGACATTCTACATGACAACTGCCCTGGACATTTCAGAATGATCAATGTCATGAAAAACAAACTAGCAAGAAAAAAATGGGGAACAGTTCAAGATTTAAAGAGATTAAAGAAACAAACAAGTGCAACAGGGGAAGGAACCTTGATAAATCCTGAATCAGGACAAAAAATAAACAAACAAACAAAAACCCCAACTATATATATATGACATGTGGGGGGAAATGGAAAAAAATTAATGTAGACTGCATAATAGACAATACTATTATGGTAATGGTCTAATGGCCCCATGCAAGAATTCCTTATTCTTAAGGAATGGCTGCTGAAGTATTTAGAGCTGAAGTATCATGATACCTGAAACTTGCATCAAATGGTTAAGGGGAAAAAAGTGTGGGGGGATAGAACAAATGTGGCAAAATGTTAAAAAGTAGTGAATCTAGGTGAAGGCTATACAGATTTCCACTGTACTTTCTTTGAATTTTTCTGTAGGTTTGAAATATTTTGAAAAAAAATTGGAAGAAAATAAAGCTTACATAATAAAAATGGGGAAAATATGCAATGTTAAGTGGAAAAAATAAGGACATAAAATTGTGTATACCACAATTATAGCTATATAAAAATACGAACAAGAGGAATGATCTTTATTCATTTCAACATTTGTTAAGCTCCTGCCACATGACAGGCTCTGCACTAAGTGATGGGAACACCCCCGGCTCCCTTTCAGAATCCTGAGTCTATGGTACAATGCTTAACTGCAAGACTTTGGATACGGCAAACTCCACCCAGGTCTTAGAGGAGGCTTGCCGAGAGGGCCTCACCTCTGTATCCTTCGTTCCTAGCAAGCTTCCTGGCCCCATGAGGTGCTCAACAATGCCTGATTCCAGGAGCACACACTCTGGTGGGGGAGGAAAGTGCATTAACAGATAGTTTAAAACAAGAGTAAGTTCATGGTGCACATAAGGTACTACAGCTTTTTAATTATCGTTTAAACTCTACCCTTATGATATCCTCCCCACTCTTCATGTGACTTTACTTCCTACCCTTCCTCACTATGAACCCACCCCTTCTTTATGGTAGGCTGGTTCCCACCTCAATCCCTTCACTCAACTCATGCTGACCTCCTGGCTTGGAATGATCTTTCACTCCTTTGCTTCATCTGTCCAAATCCTACCCAGCTCAGGTCTACCCCCTCCATGAAGCCTAACTATCTTTTGTGTAGACTTGACTGATTCCATTCCTCTGAGCTGTCAGCAGCTTAACTCCATATTTCTTAAACATATGTGGCTTCATTTGACATCTACCATGGTAAGCACTTTACAGTTTTTAAATCCTGTTCCATCATTTCCATCATTTCCCCTAATCCTCACACAACAGTCATCATGCCCTTTGCAGATATAAGGCAAGTGAAAATCAGTGGCATTGAGTATCTTGCCACTGATCCTCAGAGATCTGGCTACAGCCCACAATTATTGTTGTCAGACACCTGGTGATTGAGGAGACCCTCCAATATGCATCAACTGGACAATTCTTCTAGAATTATTATCTCTATGTCCAGCTTTGATTTGTTAGTCAATTTTTTAAGCTGCACATTTTTACAATGTGCACGTTATTTTCCCTATTATACCTCATGAAACCAGACACAATATCAGATATTTCAGTATCTCCTACAGTCCTGCTACTCAAAGTGTGGTGGGAGGGCCAGCTGCATCTGTATCACCTGGGAGCCTATTGGAACTACACCGGGACCCCATCCCAGGTAGACCTACAGAATCAGAAACTTCAATTTAACAAATTCCCCAGGAGATTCATGTGCATATCGCAGTTTGGAAAGCACTGTCCTGTAACACCAAAGAATATGCACAAAGCAGAAACTCAACAAATATTTTGAGACCTGGGGCCCTGGGAATCCTAGGGTATTCTCAGTTTTGCCATCACATCTTACGCTGCTCAGCTTTGAGCTCCCTTCCCTGTGGGGCCTCACGTGGCTCTTCGCTCCCCCACAAGACAGATATGAGCCTAAGAGTGAGGGAGACACTGAGGTAGTGCTCAGAGGGATGCTGGTGAGGTGAAGCTGCTACCTTTCCATCAGAGTCAAAAGCAAATGTTGGCGTTGGCCTCAGGGCTACAACATTCCTGGGGAGAAATTGGTTTTATTTCTAAGACAAAAATGCTTGAGCATCCGAGCCTCTGGAGGATAAGGGGTTTATGATAGACAACACTGGAACTGTTTCTAGACTTGATTTATTGACTTGTCTGTTTCTATTCTGTCACTAAGCTGATTGGCAACGCAACCTGGGACTTGAAGGGATTCCTGTGTATATGCTTGCGCTGCCATCAGGGCCGGGTGGGAGGCGTTTGTGCAAGGGCCGTTTGCCTGTGAGGAGGGCGTGTGTGGAAACCACTCGGGAGAAGTGGGTGCCTCTAGGGAGATGATTGTCTGTGATGTGAGATGTCTACCTAGAGTGGGTTCGAGTATGTGCACAGAGAGCAGTTGGATGGGAGGAGGTAGGTGGGGCCCCGAAGGCAGCACGCCGGAGCCGGTAGTTCCAGACACATCTTACAGAACAGCCCCTGTCTCGCCCCCACCCCACCCCAGTTTTTCCTCCCAGGATATTATTTCCCAGTTGGGAGGCCTTGGGGAGGGTAAAGGAGGGGCGGAAGGCGCCGGAGGGCCAGGAACCCCGGAGTCCGAAGACTCCCCTCTTGGCGTCTCGCGCGAGGTGGGAGCTGGGGAGGGGGAACAGACGTGCACAGGTGCGTCCCCAGGGGGGCGCGCGTGGCGACACATGGAGGATTCATCCTCAGTGCATCCTCAAGAGTCGCATTCCCTGCCCTAGGGTCGCCACTTCACTTCTCCGTCCACACAGGCTGGAAGCCCCCGCCCACTCCTCTCCGCCGGGCGGAGGGAGGTCGCCCCCTTTAGGTAGCGGAACCCCGCCCCTCCCTTGTTACTGACGAGCCCCGCCCCCTCTCGCCGCCCCGCCGAGCTCCGCCCCCGCCCCGCCCCCTGCCCGGCCACAGAGCTCCCCACGTTCAGTCTGGCTGGCCTCATGTTACTGAGCGGAGCTACTCCTGCCGGCTCCGGCCCGGGGCCGCGGGCGCAGGGGAGCGCGGGGGGCGGCCCGGCTGGATCGCGCCGGGGCGCCGGAGGTGCGGGAACCGGCCCAGGAGGGGGCGGCAGCGGCGGAGTGGCCAAGTGGCTCCGGGAGCACCTGGGCTTCCGCGGGGGGGGCGGCGGCGGAGGTGGGGGCAAGCCGGCGCCCCCGGAGCCGGACTACCGCCCCCCCGCACCTTCCCCGGCCGCGCCCCCCGCACCTCCCCCGGACATCTTGGCCGCCTACCGACTGCAGAGGGAGCGCGACTTTGAAGACCCTTACTCCGGGGGGCCGTCCGGCTCCGCTGCTCTAGCCACCCCTGCCGTTCCCGGCCCCACGCCGCCCCCGCGCCACGGCTCGCCACCCCACCGCCTTATTCGGGTCGAGACCCCTGGCCCCCCAGCGCCTCAGCCCGAGGAACGGATCTCTGGACCACCCGCCAGCAGCGACAGGGTGAGTGCCACGCCGGTCGGGGGGTTGCAAGGAGGAGAGGTGGTCGGAGGTCTGGGGCTTTCGAGAGGGACAAAGGTGGCCTGACCGGGGCCGGGCCCCTTGGCGTCACGGTTCCTGGCGGACACGATCTTAGTCCCTGACCCCGGGGCTCGGAGCCTTCATCCACCTTTGTTCAGATTCTCGACCTTCTAATTTGGGACGTGCGCCCCAAACTCTGCCTCTTTCCCTTATTATAGCCCCTGAACTAGTGACCCTCCCCCTCCCAATCTCTGCTCTCCTCATCGCAGACCCCGGAGCCTAATCGGGGAGCCTTTTTTCTAACGGGATTTGAGCCCGTTTCTCCCCAGTTTATGGCCTTTCAATCCTCTGGGAGCAGCAGCTCACTGCCCTTTGATCTCTGACCCCTCCCCCTCAGGGCAGAGCCAGCACCAAGCTCCACTCCTTCTCCTGTTAAAAAAGCCCAAGCATCCTTGGAGGTGCTGAAGCCCCAGGAAGGAGGTGAAGGCTGGGTTTCTCCCTGTGGACACGGCAAGAGCTGGCCTTTGCCTTACCCAGTGGGACTGGAGCCGGGTGGACTGTTGTTCTCAGGAAGCCAGAACAGGCAGTATGCAGCTCTTCACCAAGGATGCTAACCACTGAGGTCCAGGCACGCCCACTCCTGCACTCCTTCCCTTATCCCCCCAGGTATGCGGACAGTCAGTGCTCAGAACCTGTTGCCCAGAAGGGGCTAAGCAACTGAACCCACTCCTCCTCTCCTCTTGGCCTCCTGCTCCCCGGGTCCACTCTGAGGGTGGCTAGAGCTTTTTGTGGACCTGAAGGCTTGGGGTAGAGAGGCGGGCTGGGCATTCACTGTTTCCAAGAACATCCACTGTGGCTCAAAGGCCCCTGGTAGAGAAGACACCCCCTGCCCAACCTCAGTGCGGCCTTATCCCTCCCTGACAGCTGAAAGTCATCCCCAGGTCCCTGTAGTCCTAAATTCTAGGACGATGACTTGGTGGGCTGCCCTAGCTCTATTGTCCCTCTTCACTTACCCCTGGGAGCTTGCTCTGGGGCTGACTCCCCTCTCCTCAGCAGAGAACACAGTTTTCTTTGATTGGAGAGCAAAGTTGCTGTCTGAATCTGTTGGCTCCAGGGCTGAGGCTTTCAGCTGAGAGTGCGCCACTGTTCTGCCTGATTCTTGGGTAAGAGAGATGTGTCAGGGTCAGAGCAGAAGCCTCAGGAATGTGAATTATTTTTCCCCTAGTTCCTGCCATGGGGCATGGCTACCCATCCTGGGCCAGGACTGTTCGCCTGCAGAAGGAGCCTATGCTTTCTTCACACGTCCTTAGGCTCCTCTTCCTAATTTTCCCCGATGGTGGTGGTGGCAGTGAGGCAGAGGGAGCATTAGGCTTTGTTCTTACTATTGATCAGTTAGTCTCCTCCTCCCTGACCACTGCCTGCTGGCATGTGGGCCTGAACTGTCCCTGGCCCTCCTCCTCTCTGTATTGTCTTGGAATGGCCTAACAGGCTGCCCACCAAGCCGTGGGCTCCTCCAGGACAAGGGCCTTATCCTCATATTGTGTCTCCCAAGTGCCTGACACACTGTTTGGCATAAAGAGGAGTGGTGCATAAATATCAATAAGTCCTGAGTGGTGACTCTCCATTGCTAGGGTGACCTGAGGGTCAGAGACTCCCCTAACTAAAGTTCCCCTTGTACACTTCCCCACAGAGACCCCAAGGAAGGGGCTGTGCCCACACAACCATGCAGAAGCCCACAGCCTCTTCTCACCAAGGGCATCCATGCCTCTCCCTGGGTCGTCTCTGTGATCTGTGGGCTGCTCAGACCTTGGGGGCTAAGAGGTATCTGACTCCTTTGTCAGCTGCAGGGACAGGAATGAAATCTAGCAGGATTTCCTAGGAGCCACACAATCTGTGGTTTAATGAGTGTGTGAGAAAGACTCAGTATGCCATCTGAGCTGGCCCAAGGGCAGGGATGCTGACCTGGGGGCTCCCACCATTCAGAGAGCAGCTCCACCTCTTCAGGAGCGGAGTTTGGATCTTCTCAGGAAGAGCCCAGACTGGGTACCTGAGCCCCTTAGCCTAAACCCAAGGGTCAGCACCTGCCTGCAGAGCTCACACAGGATTGTGCCTGCTGGATGGTGAGCCGGCCTGGCCCCCGAGGCCCTGCTGAGCTGGTGTTCCTGTCCTGTGTGGCTGCTTTCTCCTTAGTCTCAGCTCCCCCTCCGCTTAGCCCTGCAGGTCCTCTTGGCTTGCTGCTTTTGAGTCTCTTCCTGAGGTGAGATGAGGCTGGGGACCAGGTTTTGCCTTGGGCTGGCTCACTTCTCTCCTTCTGCAGTCCAGCAGCTGGTGCTGGGGGGGTCAGAACCCTCTGAGAGGAGCTGGATCATGAGGTTTGATGAAATGGGTGCAAATGCTTCTGTGATGAGCCAGAGAAATTGAAGGGGAATGAGCCCAGTGGATGTAGGGGCTGGAGAGAATAGGCCTCAGACAGGACCCTGAGAGGCCTGGGGGCTCAGGACCATTAGCCTTCTCCCCGTGCAGGGCTCTGGCTGCTGGCCCACCCTGAGACCCACGGCTGCAGTTGGCAGGGGTGCAAGGGTGGCCATCTGGGCAGGCCTGGCAGGGCAGGTGTGGGAGCAGCAGGCAGGCAGAGCCTCGCCATCTGGCTGCAGGAAGACTCCCTCTTGGTACTGGGCCCTGTCTGGCCATCAGGCTATGCTCTGGCAGAGGGGCTAGAGAGCTGTGCCTTCCCTTGCTTTGCTCCCTTTTCTCAGACCTTCAACAGGAAAAACCTGATCTAATTAGGAAAAGGGGATGGGGATGGGAGAGGGGCCCTGGTTGGATGAAGCTTTCAGTTGCCTCTGACCATCTGCACAGTGTGTCCTTTGCCTCCATCATGCCAAGATACGTGTGTGAGAGAAAGAGACAGAGAATGAGAGAGTGAGAGAGCAAAACAGAGAGACAGAGGTGATGTGAACACTAAGAGAGTCAGGCACCCTGTATGAATTGAAACTAGGGTTCTTGTTCTTAGCTCACAGAGGGGCTTCTAGGGTTCAAGAACCTCCAGAAATACTGTGCACATATTTGGGGGCATGAGCATTTTTCTGGGAAAAGGCTCACAGCTCTCAGATTCTCACTGGTGTTCACAGGGCCCAAAATATTAAGAACTTTTAAGAATAGATACTGTACCTCATAGATGGTTTTCACATGGACTTGGATCCTCTGGGCCCAAGTTTGGAAACGAGTGAACAGATAGGCGGGAAGACGAAAGTGAAGGATACATTCCGGATGTCAGAAGATGAACAAGACATGCCTGCCCTGGGATTAGGAGGGCAGGTAGGGGCCCTCCCTGGCCAGTGTTCATTGAGTGTTTTGAGTATCATTAAGTGACACTGGCCCAGGCGCTGAAAGAGACTCACCACCTAGAAGACCGAGTCCTTACCTTTTTTGAGTTTGTTTCCTTCTTTGCTTTAACTTGCTTTCATATGACTTGCGCAGAGTCTAGAGGTCTGGTTCGTTTATCTCACACGTGTCCTTGGGTCCCCTGATGGAGGAAAGGAGGAGGGTTCCGGTCAAGGGATGTGAACTTTGTGGCCTGTGCTGTTGTTGGTGCCACTGCCACTGGTGCTTCGAGGAGGGCTGAGGCCCGCAGGCCTGTCCACCCTATCCACTGCTGCCTCCTCGTGCTGCAGCACTCCCTCCCTCTGGAAGACAACTGCGGCTTGTTGGCTTGGGCAGTGACTCAGTGACACCGCAGCCCTGGTGCTCCACCCTTTGGGAGCCAGGAACAGCTGGGACCCTGGGACCCTGGATGGAGCAGCTGGCTGGGGCCCGGGACTTGGAGGGCTACCTGCAGCCTACTCCCGTTGCCCTGGAGAACCAGTGTGATATGATATGAGAGTGGAGGTGGGACCCAAACCCTGCATACAGTGAGCCTGTGGGGCTTGCAGAGCCTGGGGCTCAGCCGTGTGGCTTCATAGCACCTCAAGGTGCTTCACTCTTTGGGAACTTGTTTTGTGTCTGTCACTGTGAGCTCTTGGAGGATCCAGGAATTTGTCCTTTGTATTTAATAATACAATCGTGGACATTTACTGAGCCTCCACCTTGTATCTAGTACAATTTGAAGCAGCTGATGTGTATTAGACCAGTTGATCCTTACAACAACCCTATGACAAGTCTAGGGTTGTTGTAACAACAACCCTATGACAACCCTATGACAAGTCTATGACAAGTTATTATTCCAGCATTACGAAAAGGGAGACTGAAGCACAGCAATGTTGAGTCACGCTTGCAAGGTTTCACAGCTAGTTAGAGAGCTGAGGTTCCCAGCTGGGCAGCCTGACTCCAGACTGGCTGCCAGCTCATGTATGGGACCTTTGCAAGGGACCTTTGCACCTGCTGAGAGGAGGCCTGCAGAGAGAGGAAGTATCCACTGAGCATTTGCTAATGAACCAGGGGAAGGAGGCTCTTAAGGAAGGAATGAGGATTGCATTCTGTGCTGAGTTCACCATTTCCTGAATGCTGAAGGCCAGCACTTGCCACCCAATCCCAAAGTGGCCTCGGACATGCCTTATAAGGGTCTTAAAAGGTTTGGTAGCATCAATTGCATGTCTGTGATGAATGTTTTACAAGCATGGCATTGCTTTGTTATTAGAAAAGGATAATAACAAATTTGTTTCATGTGAAGGAGTTTCCCTGGCAGATAAAATTGGGAAGGGCATTCTAGTAAGTGGGAACAGAAAGTGCAAAAAGTTCAATCTTGAGGAAGGTAAATATCAATAGTACACCATTTCCCAGACTGACAGACTTTCAGTGGAAAAGGGATTTCATGGTTAAATAGTTTGGAGAAATGCTGAATTAAACAAAATTAAGTTAGTCTTTTGGTTGCAGGACTTCTCAGAGCCTTTAACATGCTAAGGTGTATTTTAAATCTACAAATAGAGGAGAGAAGATGCTACATTTCCCAGTTTTTCTAGAAAATCTGTGGCAAGGCAATGAGACTCAGGAGACCTGGGTCTCTGTCTTTCTTGTCTCTGCTACTGCAAGCTGTGCACCCTGGACAAGCACCTGAACTCTGGGGTCTTAATGCCTGAATAAAAGAGATTATCATCACGGCAAACATTTATTGAGCACTGACTGCTCCTTGCCAGCCTCTGGGCCAAGGACTTTTTACATTCATTGTCCTCTACCCAGTCCTATGAGGTAGGTGCTAATACCATCCCCATTCTACAGATTAAAAAACCAGAGGCTTCCAGACATTAAATATAAACTAAAGAAATGGAGAAAAGGGACAGTGGTAGACTTCGGGTACTTTGCAGAGCCCAAATCCCGTGACATGTGTCTCCTTTGCTCCCCTGGCCTCAAAAGCCCCACGGGTGGGGTCAGAAACTCGTAGCAGGGCCCAGCTGCAGAGTGGAGGGTTCAACCAGATGGTGGGCCTGCCAGCTACCTCAGGAGAGGCCTGGGCAGGAAGGAGAGGCAAGGCCTGACAGCTGCTTTGGGAGGAGCACTGCCCCATTGAACAGGTGCAAGACCAGGGTCCTGGAGGCACCCTGCCACCCTCCTGCAGGAGTGGAGGGAGCCACGGGGCCCTCTGGGCAGAGCTACTTACCTACTAGTTTGGAAATATTTCAGCATTTCAACAGCGTACCAGAGGATGTGCCTAAATATCAGCCCTGGCTTTAGGTGCCTTCCCTGCCAGTTCCTTCCTTCTGCCCTTGAGCCAAAGGCTTTGATCCCTATCAAATGTGGATTCTCCTGACAGGCTGCTCCTACAGCCCCTACTGGTCGGTCAGGTCAGAGTTAGGATGAATGGGGATCTGAGAGTCTGTGTCACTCCAGAAGATGGAGTCTGGGTGGAAGGAGGCCTTTCGAGCATCCAGTAAATGCGCACTGAGCACCTACTGTGTGCCAGGCCCTGTGATGGATGCCGTATACAACAGTGAGCACGGCAGAGTCAGGTAGAGGGCCCATAAACAAAGTAAATCATGATAGAGCAAAGGTGCAGCTGAAGCCTACAGGGGCAGCTTCCCCACACGGAGCAGTTTTGCCTCTTCACGTGACCTAGAAGCCACTGGGAAAGCAGGTCTGGTCTCTGACACGTCCTCTATGTCCAGGTCGGGTGCCCCAGCAGGTGTCTCTGCTACTGCTCCCGACCCGGCCCCGTGGGTGGCTTCTCTAGGCGCCCCAGCCCAGGGCGGAGGCCAGGGCTTCCTGGAGCAGGGTGTGGAGCCAGGAATGGAACAGAGGAGCCATTGAGCTGCCCACAGAGCTGCCACCTAGGTGCCCATGGGCCCTGAGCTGCCACGACTGGCCCAGGACTCCAGTGGGAAGGGCACTGCCTGCAGCTCTGACTGGGCTTGCTAAGGGAAGGCAAGGGGGGCTCTGTGGAGTTGGGGAGGGGGGGGGGCCTGGGGCTTGGGCCAGGTGCTTCTACTTATTGAGCAGCTTCCAGGGACTCATATGCCGTGTTTGACTCCCCAGCCAGATTCATGCTTCCTCCTCTCCTGAATGAACAAGGAAAAGTGCTCCCTTTGTCCATTCTTCCTTCCCCTTTTATATGAACTGATTTAACAGATATTTACTGAGCACTTTTAGGTATTGGGAATTTAGCAATGAACGTGGTTCCTGCCCTCAGGAAGTTCACAGTCTGCAGGAAGACAGATAATAAAACAAGTATTTACTACACAGTGTGCTGATAGCCCAGCACAGGGGCCCTAACCAGACCTGGAGGGAGAATGGAAGGCTTTCTAGAGAAAAATAATCTGATCCAGGTAAAGGGAAAGCCTTTGAGAGAAGAAAGAGATTATAGAGCTTTCAGGTAACAAAGTAACCTGGGGTGGGCAGAGAGAACCCAAAGAGCAAAGTGGAATCTTTAAATCCCTTTAACTTGGACTTGTTCTTTTGGCACTGGAGAGCCATTGCAAGGTTTAAGGATAGCACATTTGTTGATTCAGTTACTGTTAAGTAGCTGCCACTTATGAGTGTAAGGCTGGGTGCCGACCAATGGGCTGGCTCCAGAGCCCCTTGGTCAGGTGGGTGAGACTGTGGGTGCCCGTTGGCCTGGGGTGAAGCAGCTCGGGGTAGGAGTGGATTCCTTTTCTGCACTTCCTGCAGGAAGGGGGACTCGCAGAGCGGGGTTGGGGGGGGGCACTGTAATGGGAAATAGGCAGTGATCTAGCAGAAACATTTTTCTAGTGCCCACTGTGAACCAGGTGCTTACTGGAGCTGGAGGGACAGAAGTGACAAGGAGCCCCAGGCCAGTGGATGGTCTGGTGGAGGTGATGGGATGATCTGAGATGGTGGTCTTCTCAGAAGCAGACAGAGATTCGAGGGAGGTAAAGGAGCTGGGGGTCTTGACTGGAACAAGGTGAAACGAGTAGGAGCTGAAGAACCGATGCATGAGATGGTAGGAGCTGTTGGGACACTCTTGAGACCCCTAGAGGGGCCAGTGGGGGTTCAAGGAACATGCAGAAGGGGTCTCTGAGGTGGGAAGTTTTCTTTCTCCATTTCCGCCTTGGTAGGGGTCCCAGGTCCTATAACCCAGGACAGGTGGTCATCCCCACAGCCTCCCTGCCCAACTGTCTCCCACAGTCCTGATCTGGACCAGAACCAAAGCCTAGACCGAGAATAGGGGAGAGGCAGGAGTGGCCCCTTCCCCATGCCGCAGGCCCCAGAGCTACCTCTTGTCAACGCCTGGCAACCGGGTGTGCAGTGTTCTCCTGCCCCAAGGTGCAGTTAGCGTGCAGCGGGCTGTGCTCTGTCTCTGCCTCAGCAGGTCCCCCCAAGCCTGTGCCCAGCTTGGAGAAAGGCTTTCTTGTCCTCAGCTGTGCCCCACCCCGAGCACCTTAAGCTCCTCTGCAGGGTGTGCGGCTTGCAGCCTGGGATGAGGAGGGCCAAGACCATACCTTTCCTGTCCCTGTCCTCCAAGAGCCTGGGGGATTTCAGCAGAGCCCAAACCCTGGCTTTCTCAGGGCTATCCTAAGGTGGTCTCTCTCCCAGGACAGCCAAGATGCCCAGTGGTAGCAGGCTGGCAGCATGATTTTGCACAAAGGGCACAGGTTCCAATCCTGGTTTCTCCACTTACGTGGAATGGACTTGGGCGTGTTGTTCCCTACCTGCCCTGAGCCTCCATTTCCTTAAAATGGGGATAATAATTCCCACATGACATTGTGAAGGATGTTGTGAGGATAAACCAGTGAACTGTGGCATAAACTCAGTATCTTCCTTGAAGGTCAGCAAATACTTATTTGTTTAGCATCTGGGAAAGCAATGCTAGGCATGGACCAAGCTAATCCCCCAGTTGCCTACTGTTCCCTGCTTATTCTTTGAACTCCAGCACCTTTATAACCAGGTCTCTGAATTAATTCCCTCTCTTAGGCCACCTGGTATAGGCTCTGGTCCTGCCTGGACCCTGAATGAGGCAGGCCTTAAAGCCCAGAGCCTCATCCTGTCCATTTAGCCCAGGGAATGGGCCAGAGGCACAAAATTAACAGAAAAGAAAGATGTACCATTCTGTTGGCAGCCTAGTGGGGACCCCTGCAAAGGAACAGCCAGAGCTTCTCCCCATCCAAGCTCCTGGGCACCCTGCCCAGGACTCTTGCTCCCATGGACAGAGCATCCTGGGGAGAAGCAGAGCTGTCTCTCAGACGTCTGAAGCTTGCTCCCCTCACTCTCTTCCCAAAGCTAGCAATTCTAGAAGACTATGCGGATCCGTTTGATGTTCAGGAGACTGGTGAAGGCCCAATAGGAGCTTCAGGAGCCCCAGAGAAGGTCCCCGAGAATGACGGTTACATGGAGCCCTATGAGGCCCAAAAGATGATGGCCGGTGAGTGATGGAGTTTGGGGTGGGGGTGGGGTTGGGGGTTGCTCCCTGAGGCTTGAGTATCTGCAGAACAGGCTCTGGGACCCACAAGTCTAAGGACTGATTCCTTGGTCCCTAGAAAATATGGAGAAAGCCTTTGCTGGGTCTTTGGGGAGGGTGGCCATTGTCTTCAAGATAGTCATTTTGGAGAAGAAGCTGGGACTTGTGGTGCCTGAGACGTGAGGTGCTAGAGAAGGCCATACAACCAAAGGGCAGACAACAGAAGCATTTGGGATAGTCACGAATGACAAGCTAGTGGTGTGGGCTGGGGGTCACTGATCCCAAGAAGAGAATCACTAGCTTTAGGGAAGGTGATGGGTCTGAAATGATGGGACCTTGAAGCGAACATCTATGGCAATTGGAAACACATGACTAGAAATGCAGTTGCAATGCACATGAGATTGAGCAAGTAGTTCAAGGAGTGAGGGCAGGGAGAAGTGAATGAGACCTGGCCCTGGGGAACAGAGGTCAAGAAAGCATCCAGGGAAAGGGAACAATGTGGGTGATCAGAGAGGAGGACGGGGTGAATCAGTGTAAGCCAAGGCCCCAGGGAAGGATGAGAGGAAGGTTTGCTCAGGGGCAAATAATCTTAGTGCTGGGCATACAGGAGAGCTAAAATGAGAGAGGCCAAGAGGGGGTAGCGCAGGTCTTGAAGGCTCAAATGAGGCATTTGGACTTGCTCCAAAAATGGGAAGGGAGCCATTATGGATTCTTGAGCAAGAAAGGAACAGGATGAATGTGGCATTTTTAGAGGATTACTGAGGCTTTGGTGTACAGAACACACTAGAAGAACTGGGCATCAGAAAGATGAGTTAGGGGGCTTCCCTGGTGGCGCAGTGGTTAAGAATCCGCCTGCCAATTCAGGGGACACAGGTTCGAGCCCTCGTCTGGGAAGATCCCACATGCCGCGGAGCAACTAAGCCCGCGCACCACAACTACTGAGCCTGTGCTCTAGAGCCCGTGAGCCACAACTACTGAAGCCCACACACCTAGAGCCTGTGCTCTGCAACAAGAGAAGCCACTGCAATGAGAAGCCCGCACACTGCAACGAAGAGTAGCCACCACTCGCCGCAACTAGAGAAAGCCCACGTACATAGACCCAACTCAGCCAATAAATAAATTAATTAATTAAAAAATAAGAAAGATGAGTTAGTAGGCTATCGTGGAAATTGTTGAGGCTTTAAGGGACCAATAATTAACACCCCTTTCTTCCCCTCTGAGCTTGGAAATAACTGAGGAATAGGATTAAGGAAACAGATATGGAGATAGCAATGCCAGCTTTATTACTGATAAAGTTGACTGGAGAGCATTACTTAGCTATGTCACCAGAATGACATAGCTAAGGATACTTCACCACAGAATTAAACTTGCCTACTCAGGCTTGGGCAACTCAGGACAGCTATAGGCCCCTGCACGGGGGCAGGAGGAGAAAGAACCAGAACGTTCTCTCTCTGTAAGTAGGCAAATCTGGGAAAGAAAGGAAGCTTCCACTGGCCAATCAGATAAGCTGTTCTCTCTCCCTGGGAGAGGTGGGTGAGGGAGCAGAGAGCAGTAGGGAGTGTCATTCCATGGAGCCCCTGAAACATGAGCCTGTAGATTGGAGGTTCACCCTAGCAGTAATCTAGACGTGGAGAGTTGAGGGGGAGAGTCATCAGGTATTGGCACTGAACACATGGGATTCAGAGAATGAAGGAGGGCCAGGACCAAGGAGAGCAGTGTAGTAGACAGAAATGGAGAAAGTGAGAGGGCGGCTACTGTATTTAGATGAGAAGGGTGTAGACCCCCAGGAGATCCATGAGTGTCGTGGAATTGTATGTGAAAATGCGCACATTTTTCTAGGGAGTAGCTCCATAGCTTTTATCAGATTTTCACTGGGTCAGTGATCCCCAAAAGAGGATCACAGAACAGACTAGAAGAATTTTGCGGGAAAGCAGTGAGTTTGAAACATCAAAGTGAAACATTTTTATGGCAGTTGGAAACATATAGATGCAAAGGGTGCCATGAGACTGGAGAGTGAGAGCAGGGAGAAATGAATAAGATTTGGCCCTGGCGGACAGAGACCAAGAGAGGATCAGGGAAAGAGACCAAACGGGGGTGATGGGAGAGGAGGACAGTCCATGAAAATGACTTGTCCAAAGGGGACAGTTTCAAGGAGGGGGTGGTCAGCAGTACCTGAGCAACAAAGAAGGATTTTCTGATTGCAAAATGACATAACTTGGGACACAAGGAAATAAATGGATCTGAGTAGCAAGGAGATGGACCCTGCCTCAGTTTCCTAAATGTGTAAGCCTCAGCTCCCCAGCCCTTGTTGGCCATTGCAGGATCTTTTTTCTGTCTTTCACTCTGGTGCTTCTCTGCCCCTGCCTCTGTTGGGTCCCATGCTTTTGGAACCCTAGAGGTGTTCTGAGGGTGAGGGACCCCAGATGTGTGGTCACTGGGCTCCCCCCACAGCCAGCATCTCCTCTGAAGGCTTGTAGCTGGGGAGTGCTACTGGGGGCGCTGAGCCAGGCAGCCAGGACTGCTCACACCTTCCCTCCTGCCTTGCCCTGGCAGAGATCCGGGGCTCCAAGGAGACAGCAGCTCAGCCCTTGCCTCTGTATGACACGCCCTATGAGCCAGAGGAGGAGGAGGGGGCCACCCCGGAAGGTGAGGGGGCCTCCTGGCCCCGGGAGTCCCGCCTGCCAGAGGATGATGAGAGGCCCCCTGAGGAGTATGACCAGCCCTGGGAGTGGAAGAAGGAGCGGATTTCCAAAGCCTTTGCAGGTGAGTCCTGGGTGGAGAGGGCAGGTCTGCTGAGGCCTCTGAGCAGCTTTCCAGGCTCAGGGGGATGGGAGGAGTGGACTTGGGGTGGGGGTGGGGGGCAGGAGCTGGGCTCAAGGGAAGTGCAGTTGAGTTGCACCATGGAGAGTGGTGAGTTGGGCGGTGTGGACACAGAACTGTGTGCAGGGTCGGGGATGACTCCCTGCATCACCACCTCTCAGAGGCCAAGAGGCTTGAGCCACTTCCATCTTTTGGGAGGCGGTGTATACTTAAAAATAAAGAAATTCCAAACAAAATGATAAAACTTGTGGCATATGTTAAATACGTACACGTAACAAAGGAAAGCACTGACACTCCAGACAGTGAAAACCCACTGTGTGTATAGCCTAGCCCCAAGGGTATTTCTCAGGAGCAGGAACCAGTGGGGAGAGGAAGAAATCATCAGGTTTCTCCTGTACCAAGCACCCCAGTGTCCATCCCAGGCCCGGAGTCCAACATAGAGAGGGCCTGAGTGGGTGATACAAGAGCCTGGTACAAGAGCCTTGTTCAGTGAGAACATAAAGGACTTCAGTGCCGTTAGACCTCATTCCTACTCCCATGTCTTCCTCAGCCCTCCTTGGGCAAGGAGCTCATCCTGGAGCTGGACCCGGCTCTCCACTCTGTCCTCCCCACCCCGGCAGCCAGACTGGGAAACCACAGGTTCCTAATTTGTTTCCCGTAAAGCGTGCACCATTGAGGATGGGCCGTTTATCTCCCGAAGTCTCCTTGGAGAATCAATACTGTTTGAGTTGCTTAATGGGAAAATCTATGCTCCTCATTAGGAAACCTGTTAGCAGTCCTGCAGCCGCCAGTGGCATGGCTCTCCTAATTGTCAAGGCTCAGGATTGAGGGTGTGGTGGGTAAATTTCAATAAAACATCTGCTCTGGCTTCTGAGTTTTCCTGACAGCCTGAGGCTGGGCTGTCTCGGTCTCGCTGCCCATGAGTTCCCAGGCTGCAGGCGAAAGGGGGAAGGGAGGCAAGGTGGGGCGTGCCAGGATGCTGTGTGGGTGTCCAGGTATGATGCTGGGGAGTACGGGCAGCTCCTGGTCATGCTTTTCCCTCCCTTCCTGGGCCCTTTGGGCCCTGGAGGCTTGTGAGAGGTCAAATAAAGGGGACCTGTGGGGCTGGCAGAGCAAGACCCTGTGTCTGGCTGTTTGCTCCTGGAGCCTCCCACCTGCCATGGTGCGGTCAGTGTGGCTCCGCCCAGTCCTCTGAGAGTCCTGTTCTTCCCTCAGAAGCTGCCCCTGCCTCTGCTCTGACCCTCCTCCTTTCTAGGCTGTCCTGTGTCCTGGCTCTGGGTTTTGGTGTCTCAATCTCTGCCTCTCTCTGTCTCTGTCCCTGTCTGTCTCTCTTCTCCCTGCTGCTACTGGCTCCAGTTGACATTAAGGTCATCAAAGACCTACCTTGGCCTCCACCGGTGGGACAGCTGGACAGCAGCCCCTCCCTTCCCGACGGGGACAGGGACATCTCCGGTCCAGCCTCACCCCTCCCTGAGTCCAGCCTGGAGGATGGCAGCGGTGGGTCCTTTGGGGGCTTCTGGCCAGGGTGATGTGTCCTCTCAGCCCTCAGGCCCTGTGGATTGGGTTGGAGAAGCAGAGAGGTGGGGCAGAGTTCAGAGAACCCAGGAGGAATCCCTCTCGCCCTGGAGGAAGATGGAAGGGACAAAGTACACGTTCCTCCCTCCCCTAAAGGGGTGGGGAAGGCATCTCCTGAGGGAGGCCCCTTCCAAATATCTTTCCCCCCCATGCCATAAAAATCCATTATTCTAAATTCAGTCTTTTGGGCAGAGCTCTGCCTGACCAGATCCCTCAGCAGTGCAAATAACGCCTGAGGCAGGGGTGATGATAGCACAGGAAGTTAAAGGAAAGGTTTGATCTTTGTATCTGGTGACTGGAAAGACAATGAGGGCTTGAAAGTGCCAGGCGGAGAAAAAAGACACTGAACACTTCATCTACTTTCAGTTTTACCCAGAATGGGCAGCCAGGGATGTGCTTGCATCTGTGCATACGCACACCTGCATGAGCACCTGTTTGTACATTTGTGCGTGGGTGTGAGTGGGTATTTTGTAAATACAGGCTGAAGGAGGGTCTCTGTCATCTGTGCATGTGTGCTCGTGCCCATTTGGCTCACTGGCTTCAGCCCTCCCTGGGCAGGCTCAGCGGTCATGCCTGTCCCAGTCTGGGAGGCCAGAGCTGCCTCTGCTGGGCTTCTGTGGGTGGGGGAGGGGAGCCTGTGGGCCGCGACCTTGGGGGCGGGGGAGGGGCGGGCTGGCTGGCGGCTTTGGGCAGGATTAGCCTGTCAGGATGGCACCAAGGGGAGTCAGATAATTGTTCTCAGATCGATAAGTCATTTCTACAGAACGGCTTGGCAGGGTGATTTGGAGAACGGTAATGAACTCTTGAGGAGGAGAAAGAAACAATATTATCAGCACTGAAGCCACCCTGAGGGGGATGGAATAAGGGAAGGCAGTCAGCTCCTCCAGAGGGAGGAGCTTAAGTGGTTTCTCATGTTGCTGTCTTCCCTCTCCTGCCATGGTGTGGGTACTGGGAGGCCCTGTGGCACAGGAGAGCTGAGCCCGCCCCCGCCCCACCCAGGGATGGACCTAGGATACTGTCCCTAGAGCTGGTCAGGCTCATGAGCACGCCCCACCCTTCCAGAGCATTCCTTTGCCCCCTTTTGGCTGGAAATGGGGATGGAGCACTGGCTAGTCTATAGGGCTCTATCTCTAGGGTCCTCAGAGTCTATGACTGGTATGTCCCCCACAGCCCAGTTTGAAGGATCTGAGAAGAGCTGCCTGTCACCTGGCCGGGAGGAGAAGGGGCGGCTCCCTCCCCGACTCTCTGCAGGGAACCCCAAGTCAGCCAAGTCCCTAAGCGTGGAGCCCAGCAGTCCCCTGGGGGAGTGGACAGACCCAGCACTGCCTCTGGAAAACCAGGTGTGAGTGTCTGTGTCCAGCTGGGGACTCACCCCTCCCTTCCCCTCCTGGCACCGGCTTGCCTGCAGGGGACACCCAGAATGGGTGGGCCTGGACAGCGAGGGACCCAGCAGAGATGCCCCCCCTTCCTCTCTCTTGTCCTCAGCTGGTACCACGGGGCCATCAGTCGAACAGATGCCGAGAACCTGCTCCGGCTGTGCAAAGAGGCCAGCTACCTGGTGCGCAACAGTGAGACCAGCAAGAACGACTTCTCCCTGTCCCTCAAGTGAGTGGGGCCTGCTGGCTGGTGGCTTCAGGCAGAGTGAGCCTGTCAGGATGACTCCAAGGGGAATCGGTGGGAGGATAACCAGCAGGACAGGAGGAGCCGCCAGTATCTCTCCCATGCCCAGCCAGGCTGGGGAGAACTTCATCCCCTGTGAACATGTGCCGACTCTGTGCCAAGCCCTGGGCATCTGGAGAGGTCTGAGGCTCAGCCCCGGCTCCCAGGGAGCACAGAGTCCTTTGGGGGAAGCAGTCAAGCTATAGAGTGCAGCTTAGAAGGGTTCTGTCATTTTCTAGCTCTGTGGCCTGGGGCCCCCTTAACCTCTCTGGGCCTCAGTTTCCTTATAAAATGGGGGAATAATCATATCTGACTTACAGGGAAGGATTAAATGAAATAAGCACTTAGCATAGTGCCAAGTGCTTAATGAATTATCACTATCATCATTATTAATGGAAGCTCAAGGTGTTCTACAAGTACAGGCAAGGAGATAGGAACTTTGCCTGTGGGACTCAACAGGGTGAGATGGAGGCTGGGTGCTGGGAGGAGGATGGAGCAGTGGACACAAAGCTGTTCTTGTTCACTCTGAAGAAGAGGGCAGAAGGTCTGGGTGCTAGCGGCTGACAACTGGGCTTTAAAGGGTCCTGGAAGAGGCAGGGGAGGCAGGGCTCCTCCTCCTCCTCCTTAGCCTTCCACTCTGGGCACAGATACAGAGACCAGCATCAGCCTCCCAGGTTCTACTGGCAGGATGGCTAGTCCTCTCCTCAGTACCTAGGAGCTCTGCCTGGTAGAACCTGCATCCCACATAGCAGCCTGTCAGAGTGCTGTGTCCATTCACATGCCCCATCATTACTGGGGCATCTGTACCACTTCCTGTCACATCTTCTAGGGGGCATTAGAGTACAGGTACACCCCCACTTCAGACATATCCAATATATGGAAATTTGGGAGTATTAGATACACTGGAGGATAATTATTCAACTTCACTGCAAGATAATGGAAAAAATGCTAGACTATAGTCAGATAACCTGAATTTCATTCTTGGTTTTAATAAAACTAGCTGTGCGGGGCTTCCCTGGTGGCACAGTGGTTGAGAGTCCGCCTGCTGATGCAGGGGACACGGGTTCGTGCCCCAGTCTGGGAAGATCCCACATGCCGCGGAGCGGCTAGGCCCGTAGCCATGGCCGCTGAGCCTGCGCGTCCGGAGCCTGTGCTCCGCAACGGGAGAGGCCACAACAGTGAGAGGCCCGCGTACCGCAAAAAAAAAAACTAGCTGTGTGACCTTAGCCAAATCACGTAACCTCTCTGGACCTCGGTTTCTACCTTTGCAAAATATGTCAATGGATACCTCTTAGGTTTCTTCCACCTCTTATGCTGGGGGAGTCTGCAAATTATAACATCAAAGGAGCATTTAGGAAAAATTCATTTGTCAAAAATTTGATCTACATAACTTCAGAATGTGTATTGCTTTAAAAATTATAGTTAAGATTCATAGAGCATCTACTATGTGCCAAGCAGCATACATACCATCTCCAAACCAGCTACCGTCCTGCAAGATCAATCTCTTTTTTATAGAAAGAAAATCGATTCAAAGAGGTATGTGACTTGCTCAAGGCCACCAGCTAATAAAGTGCCCAGAGCAGGATCTGAACCCAGCTCAGGCCAACTCCAAGAACCACACTGTTCCATTACACAGCTCCACCCCCCATCAAGTCTGGTATGGTCCAAGGCAAGAAGAGACACGAGCAGAGCAGAGCAGAGCAGAGCAGAGCCTGGGCCCTGCCTTATCCTGAGGAGTGAAAGGGGGAGGCCGGCCTGGACACCACTCCAGCCCAGGCTGATCAGGCCCTGCCAGCATCTGTCTGCCAGGGCCTCGTTTACATATAAATGGCTTCTCTGAAATACAGTTATGGTTTCTCTTCTCTCTGTAATGGAAGGGCTTTCACTGGTAATTAAACAGCTTCCTCCAAAAGCCATGCCAGCCCTAGCCCTGCTGCCCAGCTAGTCCCACCTCAGTTCCCTGAGGGTCAGGCAAGGGCTCTGCTGTGTCTTAATGGACCCTTGGGACTTCGTCCCAGGAGGTCAGTTATCCAGGTGTGGAGGCTGAGCGCTCAGCTGCCAACTCAGTTCTCTGGCCACTTGTTGCCCTTCTTGGCCAGATCTGTCCCTGAAGGAGAAGGTACAATGTACAGTTTTCAGGAGAGGGGATTCTGTCAAGTGGACTGTGGGGAGGGGCTGTCCCCAAACTGCGGAAGCACAGGGCCTACCCTGATGCCCATAGCCTTGGGTCTGGGTTTTGGCATAGGGCAGACAGGGGAGGGCAACCACTCACTGCCTCCCCTGTCTACTGCCCCAGGGGCTGTATGTGTTCCTCAGGCCCTTTGCTCTTTTCCCCAGGGCCTGCATGGTCACTGTCAACTTCAGCCGTTATCTCAGCCCTGCAGATGAAGGATGGTCCCACACCCTGACACACATGCCCAGGCTTTAGGGAACTGTACCCTGCGGGCGGGGGAGGGAAGGATGGTGTTAAGGGCCTGTTTTTTTCCTCCCATCCCTTTCCTCTTTAGTCTCCCCACGCTCTGTGCTTTCTCACTTGTGGCCCTAGTGAAATGGGACCAGTCAGAGCCCTCTTTGTATACAGACAGGGGAAGCAAGTGAGGGGGTTTGCCAGCCTCACCTCTCAAGGGTGGCAAACCTCACGAGGAGGCAGCCCCCTCCCCAGTCCTACCTCCCACACCAGCTTCTGAGCCCGGCTCTTGTCCCCAGGTAAGCTCTGACCAGCAGAAACAAGTACTCGGGCTTCAGGGCTCTCCCAAGCATGGTTTCCCCATTGCCTGTTTGGAGTTTCAGACCTGGGGCCTGGCCGATGAGGCCTGTGGTAGCTTGAACAAACGTTCTTGCTGGGAGCTGGCCAGAGCTCTGAGCAGCAGGGTCCTTGTCTTGTGGGCAGAGCTGGGCACTGATGCTGATTTCCTGGATTGTGGTGGGGAGATGGGAGAGGCAGTGGAGCATGTCCTCTCTGAGGGAGGGGATGGAGCTGCAGCCTCACAGATGATGTCATCCCAGGCAGAAGAGCTGGATAGATGAGCTGGGGGATTGGCCCAAGGCCCAGTTAGCAGGAGGGTGAAGGGCTGTCCCCAGGACAAGGCAGCTGAGTATTCCCAGATTTGGGGGTGATGTCCAGCTCCCTCTCTCCCCTAGTCTCTGCAAGAGAGCCCCAACCAAGATTCACCTGGTTGGTTGTCGCATGTGTCCACCCACTGTCCTGCCAAGGGTGTCTGTGTTCACGAGGCACCAAGAGCTCCCCCCACACAGATGTCCTCCCCCACAGCTCAAGGAGGGGGAGGGTAAACTGGCCCTGGTCACATAGGCTGGGGGAAGTGCATAGGCTGAGGCAGGAGCGACTGGATCCCTGGGTTGGGGGGTGGTGCTGATAGCTTGTTTCCACCTGCATATTCTTGGCACACCCAGTGCCCTCACCACAAAGCCAGTACCTACTGCTGCCTACTTACAAAATCCCCTACATCCCCTCCCTGCTTGCTGGACTGACCTCCACCTTCCCTAGTTGCCTCCACTCTCAGCTGGCTTGGAACAACCATGTTTGCAGCGGGTGGTGGGGTGGTAACGATGACCGGAGAGGGCCCCACTCACCAGGGTCTCCCCTCCTCTTCCCAGGAGCAGTCAGGGCTTCATGCACATGAAGCTGTCCCGGACCAAGGAACACAAGTATGTGCTGGGCCAGAACAGCCCGCCCTTCAGCAGCGTCCCTGAAATCGTGCACCACTACGCCAGCCGCAAGCTGCCCATTAAGGGGGCCGAGCACATGTCCCTGCTCTACCCCGTGGCCATCCGGACTCTGTAGGTGTGAGGCCTGGGCATTGTGACAGATCTGGACCCAGCCCTGTGCTCATCCCCTGGCTGAGGGCTGTGGCCCTTCCTGGGCCACATGATCTCTCAAACCTTTCTTGGCCCTCTCCCTGGAATCGAGTGGCAGCTGGAGATTCCTTAATTTATTCTAAAGGGAAGGACTACTGGAGCCTTGGAATAAGAGGTGGTCTGGAGCTGAGGATAGAGGACTCCCTGGGGAGAAAGGATAGCCCCTGGAGGAAGGGATTTCAGAATCGCTGATCTCCTGAGGAGTTTAAGATAGACAGCTCCAGCCTCTTTCTTCCCCTAGGGCAGAGGTGGCGACCTCCACCCTCTTTACCCAGGGGTGGAGGGGTGGATTGGGAATGGAGCTGGACGCGGGCCTTCGGGGTGCTCTAACCACCTCTCCGCCTACACCCCCAAACCACCGGCGGCTCCGCCGGAGTCTGGTGCGGGGCTTCGGGGAGACGGCATTGGGGGTGGGGAAGGAGGGGAAGGGCTCGGCCGGAGGGAACTTGTACAGGCCCGGGGCCGCCCCGGCTCTGGGCCAGAGGCAATAAATAAACCCAGTCCTGCCAGGCACAGCCGCTTCCGCGCCTCCAGCGCCGCAGCTCCCTCCTGCCCCCTCCTCCATCCGCCCCCCCCCCCCCCCCCCCCCCCCCCCGCCCCGGGCTGACGGGGGAGGGAGTTGAGCGAGCACAGATTCTGTTTATAAATCAGCTCTGGAGCGGACACAGGCGGCTGTGAAAAGCACTTTCGAAGCATCAAGTTCCTTCCTTTGACGAGATGTCAAAACATCCCCCCTCGCCCCCTCCCCGGCTTGGGGCACCAGAGCCGGCCTGCCGCGCGGCGCCCCCTCCCCGCCGCCCCGACGAGCGCGGCTCCCAGAGAGCGCATCTAATTTCCTGCCAACAGCCATTTGTCTGGGAGGAGGGGAGCCGCGGAGAGACAAAGAGGCAGCGCGCCAGGCGGGAGGGAGCGGGGCGCCCCTGCCACGCGGAAGCCGCACGCCGGCGGAGGCGGGAAAGCTGGCGGGCCGACTGCGTTTCCTTTCTAGAGGAAGCGGGGGCCTGCCGCGCCTCCCGCGGCCCCGGGCCGATGGGTCCGACCCCGAGACCTGAAGCCGGCCAGCCCGGGCCCGGATCTCCCTCGTGGCTGTGGCGCCTGGCGGGGCCGTCCGCGCGCGCCCCCTGACGGCCGCGCCTCTACCGGAGGGGCCACACCGCCCGCGGCCCTGGCGGCCCCCCAGCCCGCGCCCGCAGCTGGAACCCGCCGAGGCCTGGGGCCCAGTCCCTGGGGAATACCACCGGGCCGCCAGGCGGAGCTGCTTTCAAACCACTCCAGGCCCGCCCTCCCGCTCCCATGAGCAAGCTGAACAGAAGCTCCCAATGACCGATGACCCACTGAACTAACACCCTCGGGACGGCTGCCCAGCCTGAGAGCCTCCTCCAGAACGGATACCTGCAACTCCCAAGCGTGGTGTGAAGCACGGGAATTTGGATTTTCTAATCCAGTGGCTAGTTTCTCGAAATCGAGGATATGTGATCTGACGAATGCAAGAATTCTGTGGGGACAGTGGAAAGGATCACTTGAAATTGAGTCCTGCTTCAAACATTCCATCATAGAGGTTGCCCTATGCTTAAGTAGACTTGGAGGGCATTCGGTTATTTTGCAGATGAGAAAACAGAGGCCCAAAGAGGTTAGGTGATGTGCTCATCAGTCTCCTTGCTGTCATCTCACTACACAGAAGACTCATACAGGCACTCATACAGGTGCTCCACCCTCCCATGGCTCAGAGGACCAGGAGTAACTGAGGTCCTGGGACAAGCCAGTGAGCTCTGGCTCCCTGTAGACTCCTGCTGTGTCTTGCTACACTGCTCCCTTCTTTGTGCCCAGCCCACCGTCACCAGAAGCCCTCACACCTCCCTCTGCCCCTCCTGACCAGGCCTCAGGAGCCCCACACTAGCCACCCTGAGAGGCCCTCTGTCAGGAAAGGTGCCCCTGAGCAGGGGAAGGGGTCTCTAGCTGGGGCACTTGGCCTTGGAGGGGTTCCCTTAGTCAGTGGGTACAGGCAAGCTCAAAGAGAACGTGTGGACCAGCCTCGGTGAGCTGGCTACGTGAGGACCCCACCCTGCAGCAGAATAAAGAAACCCTAAGGCAGGAAAGTGGCTTATTTATAAAAGGCTATTAGAGCAGGAAGAGGAGAGAAGAGCTGAGGAGCACTGAGGCCTGTTGGGGCAGGTTTTGACTACAGTACACGTTTAAAAAGTTGGCAGAAAAGATCAACTGTGCTGTTAGAATGGGGTGCTGAGGGGGTCCTGTAAATTGCTCTCTGTGGGTCTACCCTCTACCCTCTCTAAGGCATTTGCCAGCCCTTTTGACAGTGGGGAGCTCAGAGGAGGGGAGATTTGGGGGAAGGGGTTTTAGGATGCCAGCATCTGTGCTCCCACTTCATCCTTAGGCTCACAGTCCCCTAAACACACACACACACACACACACACACACACACACACACACACAAACACAATTTTTCTGCTCCAGTTTTTTTATTTTTTTTCTTATTTTGGAAGAAGAGGTGTCACTTTGCCCCAAAGCAATAATAGCTCTCCTACTTCCCAACCTCTAGTCCCCACACAGTGCCTTGCATTTCTCCAGGCTGAGAGCTTCCGGGCCTGGGAGTCCCTGAACCCGCATGAGGTGACTAACCATGGCCACCTGGACCAAGCTTGGGAGGTGCGAATGGGGAGACGGCTGAGGGAGCCAGAAACAGGAAAGCTAGAGGTGAGGTATGGGGCCAAACCTCTGCTCAGCTGGGCAGTGGGCAGAGGCCCTGGGCAGGAGGCCTAGAAGTTCTCATGATGGTAGGAGAAATGAATCCCGTCCTGCCTGTTGATGAGCTGACAGGCCTTTTCCACATTCTTGGTCATGCCATGGGGGTCACAGCTAAACACCCCGATCTTCTGGACCTGTTGGAGGAAGAAGTGAAGGCTAGCTCAGTGTTCAGAGGGAGGGCTAGCTCCATGTTCATGTTAAAGACCAGCAAGAGTCCTTGGTGAGGACCATTCCGTGTTCCTGATGAAGGTTTGCTTTGTACCATGCATGGTGAGGGCTGCCTCAATGTTTATAAAACTAACTCAATTTTGGTAGACTTGCTCTCTGTGCGTCCAGCCTTTACCGTTTTCCAACGCATTTGCTCGCTTCAGGTGCAAGATCAGTGTTTCCAATAGGGGCCAGGTTAATCAATGTCCAAGTTGAGGACAGTTTAGTGTCTCATTGAGGGCTAGCCCAGTTTTTATCAGAGTGTGGCTAGCATAGTGTTCGTGGTGAAGGTTAGCTTGGTGTCCAGGGTGAGGGCTGGAGAGCATTAGTGGTAAGGATAATTCTGAGTCTGTGGTGAGGACCAGCCCAACCACCAAGCCTTTCCTTCTGGACAAGACATCACGGCTTCAGAGGTGGCAAGTCGCTGCTGCCTGATTCCTCCCTTTGCCCCTCAGGGTGACCCACACCTCTCCCCTTCCATTCCATTACCCCACCAATATCCCTGGGGGTGGATTCTCCTTCCCCTATGGAGCAGGTTTGGGAGCTTTGCTCAGACCCCAAACAAAGGTGAAGAAAACCTGAATATGGGGTGGGACTGACCTTTGGGTGGACCTCCTGCAGAGAGTCGAAGAAGGGTTCGAAGGGGGGTCAAAGTGGGTGATGGAGCGCAAGCCCGTTAACAGACTCCGGTTCAGCACCTTCTGGAAGTGCCGCTCACAGATGTACTGGGGGAGGGAGTAGAGGAGGAAGGTCACAGCCAGGCAGAGCCAGGGTCAGCTCCTAGTCCAAATGGTGGTCCACCCACCTGCCTTGGCCATCCTTACCCTCAACCCACATCACTGAGCTGCTCTGCCTGGCCGGCCCTGATGTACCAGCATGGTGGACCTGAGGTCAAACTTCTCAGCCAGCTGGGTGATGTAGATGTGCACAGACACCAGGTCCTGGTGGTCATTCTCCTCCACCCCCCAGATGATGTCAGCCAGCCACTCAAACTGCCGCTGGGTCCGTGTCACCCAGATGAAGTAGATCTGGGGACAGGGCTAGAGCTTGGGACCCAGCTCATCTCAGGTTCCCTACACCCCAGGAATCATCACACCAATAGAAGTCTTCTGGTCTCTAGCAGCTTGTGCCTCTCCCCAGATAGCCTGGGGAGGTGGAAATGTATGGGGCCACAGGGCCATGCTCTGAGGCAGAAGATGGTGTTGCCCCAGGGCACAGAGCAGTGGAAGTGAGCAATAGCCTGGGGCCATGAGAAAGGAGTCTGTCAAGTGAGCTGAAGGTCTGCTGGGGTGGGAAGCAGCTTTCTCTTGCCGAGCCTGACCTTCCACTCCCTCCAGTGGGCCCTTCTCAGGCTGCTAGGCTCCCAACCTACAGGCTGCCCAGAGGCAGAGGGTCCCGCTAAGGGGTATGTCACAGAACAGCCTCTGGAAAGACCCAGCTGGCTGCCTGGAGTGGATGGGCATGGGCTCAAAGAGAGACCAGGGGAATGGAAGCTGCCCCGGGGGGTACCCACCTCCAGCTTCTGATGGGGAGAAACGGGGCTGTGTGAGTTAAGAGGCAGAGACAGAGCTGGTACAGACAGAGGGGCAGGGGAGCTGTCACCCTCTGAGTGCTGACAGCATACAGGCTGGGCCTCTGCCCACTGCATTCCTGTGGCCCTGACTCACCTGCCAGGCCCAGAGAGACAAGCAGGGGCCTGCCACCAGGGCCAGGGTGAGGCGAAGGGGCCTGGTGTGGAGGGGCCTCAGGGCCTGGGCTGTGCTCCTAGAGCCATCCAGGCCCGCCAGCCCTGCCTTGCTGCCTCCCCTCCTCTTCCTCTTGAGAGCAGAGCCAGTCTCACTTGTGCCCCACCCCAAGTATGCCCTTCCCTCTCCCGACCGGACCGGACAGTGCTTCAAGTGCTGGCTTCCTCTCCAACGCTGCCTGGAGGGACTCTCAGAAGCACATCCTACGTGGGGCACCCCCTAACTGAGGGAAGAGCCTGGAAGGCATCAGCAAAACAACTCTGTCCCTTAGGGTCCAGGAATACCCCAAGTCCCTTGGGGTCAGGCCAACTCAGCCTTTCCCAGACCAGGGAGGCCAAGGACAGAGGCAGGAGACAGGTTCAGATGGACACGGTGATAGGGAGCAGGGGGCCAGGGGCTGGTGGGAGGAGGGGACACTGACCTTCCTACAGAACACTTGGCAGCTGACCGATGACTTGGTCTTTGAGGATGGAGGCAAAGGGGGTGACCCCAATGCCCCCTCCCACCAGCACGGACACCTCAAACTTACGCCACTCCTGGTGGCCCTCTCCAAATGGTCCATCGAGGCACAGCTGCAGGGAGGGGAGTGTGTTTGAGTTAAGTTCGGCTACCACCATAGTTCTGAAGCAAGAAATGGGAGGCAGGAAAATGCAGGTAGGTGTATGGAGTGGGGAGTAGTGGGGGGCTTGTAGCATCATCTGGAAGAATCGGTCTCTGGATAGGGGAAGGGAGGAACGCAGTGGGGAGTCTGGGGCAGCAGGACCGAGGCCTGCTAAGGGACTGTGGGAGCATGTGGTGCATCCGGCCTGGGTCTGGGCACCTTTGGATGTTTGGCACAGCTGTCACCCGTCGGGGGTGAGTAGATCTCCCTGAGGCGGGTGGTCCAGGGCCCTGCTGCTCGGATGTGCAGGCTAAGCGTGTCCTCGTGGGGCGCAGAAGTCAGGGTGAAAGGGTGGCACTCTGTGGTCCCCAGAGCCAGGCAGGCGATCCGCACCCACTGTCCTGACTTGTACTCAAAGCCTTGGGGCCGCTGGAACTCGAGGCGGGTCACTCCTGAGGAGGGAAGGTGGGTGGGAGGTGGCTGTCCTGAACCCAGCAACAATGTGACCCCTAGAGAGTTCCCCAACCTGCAGCCTCAGCTCTGCTTTTGGAATATGACAGAGGAGGCCTCCCGCGATCAGAGATCATTACTCCCCTCAGGCCACGTCTACCCTGAGGGGGTGCTGGGCAGCACTGGGGTTGGTGGTCAGCCTGGCCTGGGCTCCTCCTCTCTCTGTTGTGAGAGAGGCTCAGGTCCCCTGGCAAAGAGCCTCTCTTACCAGCTCCCTCATCCCTACCACCTCAAGGACCCTGCTAACTCCACTGGGCCAGGCCAGGAGATTTCAAGGTCCAGGCTCTGCCCCTGGCCTGTCAGCTTCCTCAGTACCACCAGCCTGCTCCCCTGACAGCCTCTATGTTGGCACCTGAAGGCAGGAGCTCCGCCCTCACCACACTGATCTCCACCTTCTTTCCGGCTCAGGCTCACCAGCTTGTCCCCCATGTAGGTAAGTACTGGGACCAGGCAGAAGATGTGGAAACGGGGCAGCTGGATCAGAGGGAAGCTGCCATGGATGATGAGCTGGATAGAGCAAAGAGTATAGCTGAGATCCAAGCCACACTCACAACAGGGTCTGACCCCTGCATCCCTTCCCAATTGGCCCATCCAATTCTCACCTCACCAGGTGCCATGTTCCTTCCAGGCTCCAAAACTTAACCTCTCCCAACCCATCCTCCAAAGCATTTATGTTAATGAGACTATTTGCATCTTCCTGACACCATCCTAGACCAAGCCACCTGCATTCATGCGGTAGCCTCCTACTTGGTCTTCCACTGGGTTGCCCCACTGTGATCCATTCTCTCCAAGACAGCCAGTGTGACATTTTAAAGTTTGTTTTATCACGTCATTCCCAGCTCAAAAGGCCTTAGATGATTTCCCATTGCACCACAAGGCCTTGCAATGTTCTGACCTCTACCTGCCAGCATTTCCCCCTCCCTGTTCTTCAAACACGGCAAGTCCTTTCTGCTTCAGGACTTTGCACCTGCTGCTCCCTCTGCTGGGAATGCCTTTCCCCTACTTCTTCCCATCCATCTCACTTTTCAGGTCTCAGCAGAAATGCCACCTCCTCAGGCCTTCACCCAGCCCTCTCTATCCCTTCTCCCTGTTAACTCCCTTCAGAGCATTGTCGTCATCCACGATACTTGTGCTCCTTCATCCATGGACATGTTTACTGTTGTTCTCCCCACTGGACTAGAGGAGTAGGGACTGTGTCCATTTCATTTGCCATGACACTCTCAGCTCCAATCAGTTTCTGCCTGGCACATGGTAGGTGCTCAGTAATTACTGAGTTAATGGAAGGAGTTTCCCCAATTTACCCTGTCCCTTTGGAGACTAAGAACACCTAACCAGTCCTCCTTTTCCATGAAATAACTGACAGGTATTGTCCAGCTCCAGTCCTTTCCCCAACAAGCTGGTCTAATGTGGTCAAACACGACTTGCCCCCTTCTTCCCACTTGCTTGGTCCTGAGTATGGTCAGCCTGGCTCCCGCCTCCACGTCTTCTCAGGACCTGCTCACAGAGGGCTCACAAGTGACCAAACCCCAAGGTCTCCCTTCAGACTGCATTCGCTCCCGTGCTTGGCAGCCTGTGGCCCTAGTGACCACCCCCGCCTTGCCACTTCTGCAACAGTGCTCTACTGGTTCTCCCTCTTTCCCTCTCTGGCTGTTTACTTTCTATCTCCTGCACTGGCTCTGCTCCTTCTCCCACCCCCAATCCTGTGTGTTGCCCAAGTCTGATTTCCTCACCCTCTGCTCTTCTCTTTCTATGATCTCCCACCTGGCGCAGCCTCTCAGCTGAGCCACAGCCCTTCAGCTGCAGCTGCAGCCTGCACAGGTCCACCATGTCCTGCCACCACCTACTGCCCTGTTGGCCACTCATAGCCAGGCCCATCTCCTCTGTGCCCCGAATATTCCACCATCATTCCCACCTCTGCACCACTGTTCGTGCCTTTCTCCTTCTTCTTCTTTTTTTTTTTTTTTTTGGCCCAACCAGGGATTGAACCTCGACCCTCGGCAGTGAAAGCACAGAGTCCTAACCACTGGACCTCCAGGGAAGTCCCTCATGCCCTTCCTTCCACCTGGAATGCTCTTCAGTTTCCACTCTGCCCTGTCAAACCTTAGCTTATCTCTCCTTAAGCTTAGCACAAGTTCCACCTTCTCCCCAAAGTCTTCTCTAACCAGTTTGGCCCAAACGAAACTCCCTTCAATGAGCTCTTCTAACTGACTGACTGGAACACTCAGCTCAGCAATTAATCCTGTATTATCTGTTCATTTTGATCATTTCACATGCATGGCACTTATCTCTGCAGCAAATCCTCAGTTCCTGAGGGCAGAGCTTAGAGTCTCCCCCTCCTCTGCTGGGCCTAGCACAGAGCAAGTATATACTAGACCCTTAACACATAACAGTTAAAGTGAACTCTGGTTCCTCATTCAGCTCTCCATTCCTCCAGCTGAGTGTTACCCTATTCTTGAAACTTTCTCCACAGAGCTAACTCAAACCTCCTTGGGCTCTTCTCTCAATTGGCTCCAGTTTTCCCAAGTTCCTCTTTCATTAAGGAGCCCACGCCCACCCCCAAGGCTTTCTGAGAATCCAACCAGGCTGAGAACAATGTCAAGGTGACTTCATACTCCTTTGTTTATACATCTTGCTTGGTGTTGGCTCTACCTTTAAACCACAAAGCTGCTGCAGGGTCATGGTTGACTGAGGAGCCTGGGGAACAGCCTGCCAGCTCAGTTTCTGCTGTGCTAACTCCACCCTCTACAGCCTGGATCAGGAGCCTGGACACCCTTCCCCAGGGTCTGCTCCACACTGGGGTCGTTTACTTGTAACTTCTCTTTCTGCCAGAGGTCAAGTGGCCATACCTGAGATAAACAGGAAGGCAGCAGGTGCTTTGGCTCTGATCTCCCCCCAGATGAGATGCTCCCAAGCTGCAGGGGCTAGGACTTCCCAGCAGAGTGGCCTGCACCTTTCTGAGCTGCTAACTTCCCTTCTGGATCCCCCAGTGATCCCCACAGCTGGGGATAAATCAGAAACCGGTCTTGGTCTCAGGGTACCAGGCTGGCCACTCTTCTGGGTCTCCCATCTAGTTCAAAAAAGCTGCTTTATCACCAGAAACAAGACCATCATTTCCACCCCTAACAGAAACAGTAACCCAGATGCTAGGGCTCTACCCATTATCAGGAACGTTGGGAGGGAGGCATAAATTAGCCACAATTTCCAGAGAAACTAACGTCATCGGTTCTAGGAAACATCCTAAGCCCAGGCTGGATAGTCATCTTCAGAACCATGAAGTGCTGAGCAGGTTGGAAGCAGACCCGCCTACCTACCAGTGAAGACAGACTGCACCCCAGCACCAGCCTGACCCAGGCAATGATGACCTTTCTCCCTTGTCTCAGGACAAAGGAGACCCCTGTGTGCAGTTCTGCCTGGAGCCAGGTGATAGGGCAGCCATCTGGGCTCTGCACTTCTTGAATGCTGGCAGCCAAGCTATCATCAATGGGGACATCAGAGCATTGGGACTTGGTTTAACTCCTCAGCAAGGCCCTCAGGGTGCCCTTCGGGGAAATGCCTGTGTCTGTGAGAAAGGCAGGCCAAGTAGAGCCATGACATAGGGGCACAGATCAGAGTCATCTCTGGAAATAGCCAGCTGAAGCAGCTGAGGACAAAGCCAGGGAAAGGTGAAAAGGGAACAGGAGAGAAGAAGGGAGGGAATGTGAAGGAAGGGAGGCAGGGGCCCAGGTTAAGAAGGAAAGGGGAGAGGTGGAGTCTTAAAAATCCATTTTATCAACAGTCCAATGGAGACATTTTGAGCAAGTTCATTAACTTTACAGGTGGCATTTAGCTAGCTGGATGGATGTAGCTAACCCCCCAGAAAACAGGATCAGAACAAAAGTGGCAGAACCTATTTAAGGTAAGTTTCTCTTTAAGAAGGTGACGCTCCCTTGAATGCAGACAGTCCACCCAAGAACCCAAACCACCACCCAAAGGTAGGGAAAGACTGACTGGGCAGAAATGATGTGGGGTGTCTGGAAGGAATGCAGATCAGCCAGGTAAGGCTGCTACTACAAATCCCATGCCAGGGAGTCAGTCTTCCAAGTGCCGCATATTGGGTCAGCCTACCTGAGAGCCCCATACTATATAAGCTCCACCTTTTGAGAGAGATATGGAGAAGTGAAGAGGATACTTGAAATAACTAAGGGGATGGAGAACTGATGTCTCAGGCATCACTGCCTCCCTGGGAACATCTGCCCAGACTCCGCTGGCCTGGTTCACAGCAAAAAGCCCTCACCAGCACGTAGAGCAGGATGTAGAGGTGGTGGGTCAGCCAGAAGCCCCGGAAGCTGCGGCGCTGGAAGTGGTGGGAGGCGAAGATGTACATGACGGCGAGAACCAGGAGCAGCATGACCCCCGTGAGACCTGCAAATGAACATGGGGTGAAGGGCAGAGGCGCAGGGCCTCACAGAGGGGGCTGTTCTGAGGCTGCCAGGGTCCCCTCTCCACTCCACAGCTCCAGGCAGGGGGCAGAAAGCCCAGCATCCTTCCCTCTTCCTCTCTCCGACACCACTGATCACAGGTACCTTTCATCTCAACAGATCCTACTTGTCCTTCGCGGACCTTGTCATGATGGTTATTTTTCAAGCACCTGTGTCATTACTTGTTTTACGTCTGTCACTTTCTTGACTCTCAGGTCCACAAGAACAGGGACCAGGCTAGGCTAGTTCACCACTGCACCTGAGTGCCTAGTGCTGGGCCTGGCACACCATGGGCCTTATGGACATGTGTGCTGAATGAATGAATGTACAGGGCAGCTGCTCTGAGCCCTCTGTGGAACTCTGGACATCGTAGGCCCTGCCATCAGGGAGTCGAGGCTTGGCCAGCATTCCAGCTGCACTGTACCTGGCAGCCACAGCACCAAGCATGAGCACTGGCACTGTTAGTGAGCGAGTGGGACCACACTGTCGCTGCTCATCACCAGAGCCCCCATGGATCTGGCCCAGACCTGGTGGGAGACCCCTCCTCTCAAAGGGGATCCCAGGCTAGGGGTGCACAGGAGGGCAATACTGGAGCCATTCCAGATAACGGCCCCTCAAGTGATCAAGGAGAGAGGCAGAAGTGAAGAAGATTAGAGCCCTGTAGTGTGGAAAAGCAGAGGTTAAGAAGGGATCTAGCCAAAGCCTGTAAAGTCCTGAATGGAGAGAAGGGCATAAACGCGGCCTGATCCAGTAAACCCCAGTGTGCAGGAGTTAGCAAGCATTCCCTGAAGTTCAAAGCCGATCGTTTTAGGATTTAAAGAAAAATGAAAAACAACACGCTGTGTTTCACAGAAAGGAGTGTAGAAAATGTCTTACCCCAAGGAGGGAACAGAGTGAAAATATAAATAGCTTCAAGAAGCATTTGAATAGATTCACAGCTAATAGCTCTAAAATGGGTGATTATGGGGAGTTAGGAATATGCCCCTAAACAGCTCTTGTCAAGACAGACTACAGAATGGAGGGGGAGAAGGGGAGGGGGCGTCCACCAGGCTCCACAAAGAGCCTGGTCCCTCCCGCATGCAGCTGGGGCATAGCATTCCTCAAAGTCACTGTCACGGTAGCTGTGTGTGTCGGGGGTGGAGGGGTGCACTCCCATTCCTCAGAGGGAGGGACTAGTTCAGAACCAGGGCAGAAGCCCAGCTAAGCTCCTGAGAGAAGGCCTGGAATGCAGTCTCCTACTGCCCAGGAGAGCGCTCGGGGCAAGGGCAGAGCCTGGCTCACCGTGAAGGCTATGAGGGCTGAGTGAGAGCGACTGGGCTGCCTGTGGCAGACAGAACCCAGAGCCTGGAACTCAGAGGCAGGCCCAGAAATTCACGGAGCAGAGAGGGCTCTCACCTGGCATGGTCTGGAAGAACCACCAGTAACACTTCTGGGGGAACTCAGACCTGAGGGTTAGGGAAAGCAAGGACGGATCCTGTGAGGAGATGTCTGGGACCTTCAGAAAGGATCCTCCAGAGGAAGCACCCCACACCAGTCACCAGTCTCCCTTTCTGTGACTTGGGATTGGGGACTCAGGCTGGTCATTGTCCTGTAACTTGGAGGGTGACACACTCCTCTGAACCAAGAGAATTTCTGCAAAGAATTCCACCCCCTTCACCCCGGAGCCAGGCCACACACATGCACACACACACACATATACACACTCACTCACCCGTTGTCATGGAAGAGGCCAGGTAAGAGGCAGGAAAGGATGTGAGCGGGCTGATGGAGAAGAGGTAGACATTCACCACACGGCCTGCACTGTGTTAAGGCTAAGGAAGACCAGACAGGGTGGGGTTGAGCCTGGGACCAGCCCACTGGGGGTGCTCAACCCATTCAGCCCAAGCTCTAGGACTCCAGCCAGCCAGAGTTGGGGGCCTGAAAAAGGACCCTAGGGATCTGGACTTCTATTCTTTAATAAACCTCCTGTTCCTCCCCTGCCCCATATACACACCATCCATGAAAATAGCCACATGCGTCTGAAATTATACCATTAGAAGTTCATTCCTTTGGTTTCTCTCATAGAATTACGTGTTTTTGTTTGTTTGGCTCACCAAGAGGCTTGTGGCATCTTAGTTCCCCGACTAGGGATAGAACCCGGGGCCCTGGCAGTGAGAGCATCCAGTCCTAACCACTGGACCACCAGGGAAGTCCAAAGTTAAAGATTTGCTACCTTTGGCATAGCTGGTGATTCCTATCTACCTACTGATTTTATAAAAGGTTACAAGTCTCATGTACATATCACTTCTTTATAGCCTTTCAATTCTCCACTTTCCAACAATGTTATAAAATAGTAAGGGCAAACACAATAAAATAGGCACCCACTTGTAGAAACAATGCTGTGCCAAGATGTTAAGGCAGCCAAAACTGGTCTGTTGGCTGGCAGGCAATGCCATTTGTCCAGCAGGTAGCTCAGGGTATGACAGCTGACTCCTCAAAAGCAGCTCGAATGTTGGTGCATGAAAGTATAGCTTGTTCCTGAGTCAAGGACCTTCTAAACCCATTTAGGGAGTTGTTGGGAAGAGTAAATGAGATGAACCCTATTAAGTGCTTGGCATGCAACAAATGCTCAATAAACATTCGCTGGATCTGCACAGTCACAGAGTCTAAAGCCTAATCCTGCTGGTCTGGTAACCTCCAGCCTGGTGTGTGATACTGGGAAAAGCGACCTGTGTGAGCCCTGCCCCTCTCACAAGGTGCTTGTCTCTGATGCATGTGTTTCGCCGCCCATCTTCCGTGTCTCAAGCCAGTGTGCCCTGGACCTCCCACCCTGCCCTCTGGGTCCTGACCCCTCCTCACAGTGCCATCACTCCGGAAGAGTGCGGGGTTGACGTCCTGCCATCTGGTAACTGGAGGCAGGCCCAGTGTTGCCCTGGCCTTTGTGTAAGAGGGCAGGCCCAGATCCCGGCCTGGCTGCAGGCAACTGGCCAGGTGGTCTGTGCGGAAAAACTTCAGTGGCCCAGGCAAGAAATCGGGATGAGATACCAAGTCTGAGGGAGCTCCTCTGGCCCATGCCCCAGGCTCCAATCAGCCCCAGGGGGACCTAAGCCATACAGAGGGAGCCATGGTCAGCAGGTCAGAAGCTCTCTTAGCAGCGAGAGAGTGTAGGCTCCCAGCCCTGGGCACCCCTCCCTGCCCAACTCTGGAGCTCCAGCTGAACTTCTTCCCGGGGGCCAGGCATACACAGCCTGCAGGGACAGCCTCAGCCTCACCTCATGCATCCTCAACCACCACATGGTCCTCTCACTCAGCGATCTGGGAGGCCATGCCCAGCAGCGGGTCCACATCTTCAGCTCTTTGTAGGTTTGTGTGCTTTGGGGGTAGGGAGAAGAGGGGGGCATGGCTAATGAGGCCAGCGGTTCGGCAGCCAGGCTCCCTCAACCCCACAGTTCATGTCCTGGGCCCACCCAGTCCTGCTATTTGCTCCCAAACTGCGGGGCCATTGCTTCTCTACAGGTTGATTCCCCACTCAGGGTGCGCAATGTCCCCATCCAAAGCTCATGCTGCTAGGACACAGGTCTCCACAAGCACAAGGAACCGAAAACTTTGCTTCTATTTTAGGAAACTCGACGGTATGGTTGACAAAGGCACTAGATCTAGGTCTTGGTCCTTGCTCGGTTAGTAACCAGCTGTGTGACAGGACCTCTCTGAACTCAGTGTCCTGCCCTTAATAAAAAGGCCCTTAGGGATTAATAAATAAAATAATAAACAGGTATTAGCAGACACTGAGGTCTCTTTCAGCTCAGCTCCATGACTCTGATTCTATGCTTGCCTCTTCCCTCTTTCCTCCCACCGCCTTCCCCCTTTATGAACACTCTACACAAAGTATCTGATTTTGCTTTAAATTAATGGTCAATGGTCTTTACCCATACTGGCCTGGACAGATGATGCCTGGTAATCTCAGAATTCCTTTCTCCACCTTGCCCTCCCCATATGTTCACATTCACACACTGCCCTGGTGTGTCTAACTGGGAAGTTTCCTTGGGGGCTGGGATGGCTGGGGTACTCCATTGCCTACAGGGGACCCAGAGTTGTCAAGGGAGAAGAAAAACCTGGAAGGAAGTGATAGATGTAGAGCCACATCTGCACAGGCCCCTGCTGTGCCTCACACAGCCCTGAGGTGGGCATGGAGGACTGACGTTTGACGGTGTATAGCTACCTGGTCATCTCAGACAGTTGGTAGGGGAGATGGCTGGGGTGCCCCAGGCTGCTTCCTCTACCCCAGCCCATCCCAGCTGGCTGCCTCAGTCCTACTGCCCCCCTTCACCACACACCCTCAGACACAAACACACACACACCACAACACACACACACCCACATATGTGCCCCCAGCCCTGACCTCTCAGCTCCAGTAGCTATTGCAGACCCGGAGAGCTCTGGAGACACTTGAGTTCCTATTGATGACCCCCTGGAAGTGGCAGCTGGCATTTCTGAAATGCAAGGAGGTTAGTGGTGACCGAGGCTATGAAGCCCCAATGTCAGGCATCAGCTCTAGTCTCCAAGGCTAGAGCCAAGGGTCCAGGCTATTGCTTCCTTGAGGTGGTGTGTGGTCAGGGTAGGTCCTGAACAACCTGAATTTTTGGAAGCAATAAAAAATAAAAGTAAAGAAAACATCAGACCAAACGTCTAAAAGTGTATCCCTTATTTCACCATGTTTCATTCTCTCTCTCTTCTTCTCTCTCTCAATAGAGAAAGAGACAGAGACAGATAAACTGTCAACTGAAAGAAAAAATGCACAACATAAGAGTTGTGAGTTTCAATTTTATTCAGGAAACTTACTGAGGACTATAGGCCAGAAAACAGCCTCTTAGTAGCTCTGAGGGGACTGCTCCAAACAGGGAGGGGGAGAACCCAGTACATATAGGATTTGGGCTAGGGAATGGGTGCAGTCAAACATACATTTCTGTAAAAGGTTACTGCTAGTCACAAGGATCAGGTACCTCAGTAAATGGTTTTTGTGTTTTTCTGTGTATGGGAAGGTGCAACAATCTGGGTCCATTAAAATTTTTTCCTGAGATATCTCTAACTATCTAAGGGGTTTGTTTTCCCAAAGCACTGAGTGTCTTATCCTGTTTTTTGTCCCGAATTCCTTTTCAGGGTGTACTGTTAGAAGGCGACTGCAGTGGCTAATGACCTGATCCTTGTAGAGCTGGATGGTGGGCAACATTCTTTATATATCTTTTTATATATGTAAATTAAAACATTTAAAAAAGGATTAGTATTCGTTCTTTTGAAATTACTTGTCTATGTATAACTCAATTACTACGATTTCTTGTCCATCATAAGCCATATCCAGAAATTGGTCCGGAGTAAAAATAATCTAATCCATGAACTGTTTTAACTTATAACGCAATTGTAAAAAAAATAGACTGCATGCTTTATTTTATATACTTTTAATTTAATAGGTATATTTTTAAGTTTATTTTTCATTATTTTGGAGTCAATACTTTTCTTCAGCTCTCACACATTTTTATTGTAATTCCCTCCAAAGGCTTATAAGCCCCACTTCCTGTCCTTATAGCTAAAAATATCCCCAGTGTAGTGTCAACACCTGCGGGCTTTGTGACTCACCCTCTGAACCTCAGTTAGCCCGTCTTTAATTGGAGGATTAATATCTAAACCAGCTGCAGAAAAATGGACATTAAGGTGCTCAAAAACCACAATGATGTATCTTTTTAAACAACTGTTGTTCTTCCTTCCCTCCATATTCACTGTTCCCTGGGGAATGGGCACAATTCTGATTGATAAGCCTGTCCTGAGGTCTCCTGAGGCAGATTTTTCTCAATATACACCTCCACCCCTCCAAACACACAAACATCTGAGCCCCTCCCTCACCTCATGTAGACGCCAGGGGGCACCATGGTGGAGAAGAACTGCTCAGAGGCCGCCAGGAACTCCGGAGAGATGCTGGCGTCCAGGAAAGGGCGGTACTCTGTCCACAGGGGTAAGAAGAGAAATAGGCTCTTTACCCTCACACACTCGTCACACGAACCCACTTGTCTTCTTTGTCCTATGGATCCTGACCCCCTCCCCCTCCCCCAACCCCCCCCTCAGCCCAGGTGTTCCCCAAACTCCCTCACCTGTGTAATTCGGCGGTGCTTGCTGCAGGAAGCTGGGCAGCCACTCATACATCGCGATGTTCTGAGGGTCAAGAGAGGGGGAAATGGGAGGCCAGCGCTGGAGCAGCAAGGCCAGGAAGGATCTGAGCTCAAGGAAGGCTTAGGTGTGAGACGAGGACCAGGCAGGGCAGTCACGGGAGAGACACTCAAACAGGAGAGGGGAGGAGGTTCCCGTTGCCCACGAGGAACGAGGGCCGGGGGGAGGGGCAGCTAAATAACAATCACGAGAAAACCTCTGGTATAACTAGCGCTTTGCCTCCTTATCACTCTCAGGTGCTTTCCCTAGACGGTAGCTGCCTGGGGAGGGGTGTTTCTGGGTGGGCTTGTCCAAGGATGGAGGGCTCTGCGGGGCAGCGGAGTCTCCCAGGGACAAGGACGTGGGGGCAGGGCCGCGCGACCGACCTGGTAGGTGGCGATGACCCTCTTGCGCGCGTGCTGGAACAGCTCCTCGTCGCCCCAGAGCGGGTGCTGGCGGACCAGCTTCTGGGCCCACAGGTTGTGGTAGCGGAACCAGAGCAGGCCCAGCGCCTGCAGGAAGGGCTCGCGGTTCCCTCGCTCCGCCCCGAAGGCTGCCCGCGCGGTGGGGACACAGGGGAGGAGTTGAGCGCGGGTGGGCCCGAGGGGGGCGCACCTCGCCGGCCCCAAGCCCGCGCCTCCGCCGCCTCACGGTACAGCCCCCGGGGCCCGCGCCGTCCCGTGGCGGGGTCGGGCGCAGTCCACATGCGCAGCGGGTCCTGCGCGTTCCGGGGGAAGGCGGGGTCGGGCCCCGACGCCAGCTGCCCACCGGAGAAGCTGCGCAGCTCGTCGCTCCAGGAGTGCGAGGAGCTATAGATGGCGCTGCCGTCCAGCCAGCCCGTCGCCTCGTGGGTCTGTGGGGACAGCAGGAGGCTGAGCCGGGGGTCGGGTGGCCGAGGCGGCTCAGGGCGGGCGAAGGCCGGGCGGCCGTTGCGGGTGGTGGGAGCCTCTCCACAGCTGCCTCAGGTCCCGCCCCACCCCACCCCCCCAGCCGCCTGCCCCGCCCACCAGGTCCCGGGGGTTGCTGGGGCTGTGTCCGGTCTCGGGGTCCCAGCGGCTCCTCTGGAAGGGCAGCACCACGTCCCCGCTCTGGTCGCGATCGAACACGGGGTCTCCGGGCGGGATGTGGATGTTGAGGAACTCGGCTGGGCAGCCAGGCTTTTCCACGCTCACCAGGTCCGAGAGCACGTGGTAGCCTGCCCGCAATGGCGGAAGGCGTGGGAGGGCCAGCTGAGGGCCGCTGAGCAGTCTATCTAGACCCCCCACCCGCTTCCCCTGAAGCTTCAAAAGACTCAGAAGCCATTAAGGTCAAGTGTAAGCCTGGACCTCCCCACCCCTTCCCAAGCCTTCATCCAAACTGTTTTCGTTGTAAGTTTGGTCTTCTCCTTGGTAACTGGGAGGTGCCCAGTGAATGTGCCTAAGCAGTAGGGCTGGCAGCACCGGCTCCAAAATGCAGCTGGGAGCAGGCTGCCCAAAGGGCCTGCCAGACTCAGTGGGACACTGGACACTGGATAGCAAGTGTGGGCACCATGGATGGCCAGCAGGAGCTGAGCATTCCTGCTGGGAGCCAACAACCCACAGTCACTGCAGTCAGGCCCACCTGGCACCCCCATTTTGCTGGCCCACCCCCCAGCCCTCTTACCAGAATCAGAACCCTGCCCTGAACCTGTCCTAGGAGCCACAGGGGCAGAGTGAGAACAGAGTCCCCCCAAGAGTACCTACCAGATTATTTCCATGCTCCTCTAACCCTACTCCCATCAACAACTCAAGGTGACGCAGATTTATGCCTCCCCCAAGCAGACGTTCTCCCCCTGCTCCGACCCCTACCCCACCCCATTGCCTCCTCTTCCATCTCTCACCCCCTCTCTCAGACCCTCCATCACTCTCTCCCTTCATTCCCTGACTCCCCGCCTCAGACACAGAGGTGTCCAGCTGACCCCACTGGCTTCCCTTCCCCAGAGGTTGAGGCTCTCGTGGAAGAACACTCCCAGCACTGTGCGGTTTCGCAGGGAGGCCTGCCCTGCGGGGCCCCTCATGGCTGTGTTGCTAAGTGCCCGGGGGTTGGGCAAATGAGGCTCTCGGAAGGGCTGGTACACACCAACTGCATAGCTGGCTGGGATGAGGCGCTGCAGCCGGGAGCCTAGAGTAGGAGGGGTAGGGGCAAGGATGAATCCCCAGGGGGCTCCCTGACCTCTCTGCCAGGCTCCCTTCCACACCACAGATCCTAAAACCTTAGGAATGGGTGAGCCTTTGCTGGTACCTGCCAGCCCTTGCCCCTTAGCGGTGGCTACCTCCCTGACCCTGGGGCTCCATCTCCACTTGGCTCTCACCTACCTTTGCTGCCCCATCTGTGCTCCATGAGGTTGTTGTACCACCCATCAAATCGCTGCACCTCCCATGAAATGGGGTTCTGAGCTCCTGTGTGAGAACAGAGGGAAGGGGTAGCTGAGCAAATCAGTGCATGAGAGGACAGGCCAGCAGCAGAAAGTGGATACCCAGCACAGTGCAGGAGGTAGGGTACGGAGGGAGTTTACCCAGGGTATGTCCAAACTCAAGCCCAGTCTTTAAGCTGCTCACTGGACAACTATGGCAGGGAGCACTAAAGTGGTGTAGCCAGTGTGTGCTGATAAATGGCCTCAGAGAGGAAGAGGAGGGTGAAAGAGAACAGTGGCGGTGGCGCAAGGGATGTAGGAGCCTTCTACTGCCCTCACACCCCAACTCCCTGGGGGACAGGACAGAAACTGTTCCCAGCCCTAAAACATCATACAGTGCAAGAGTCAGCCACTCTTCCACCCAGTGAAGGACATGTCATTCTGTGACTCACCCCTGGGCAGGGGAAATATGGAGAGGGGCTTGGCTCTCTCTCGTTGAGCCGCTCTCAGAGCAAGGGTATGGGCCATGGGGCTGTGGCTTTGGGGCCTATTGTTACCCCTATCTTTTCCCCAGTTTCTTGGGTGAGATCAGGGACTGACTGGTCATGTGGATAACCTTGCTGCCTCCTCTTCTGGGGCATCATGTTCCCCATATGATTCCTCTATTGACCCTATTTTATTCTCCAAAAACTAGGGTCTAGGAGGAAGCACTCAGCTGTTGAGGAAAGAACTCAGGCAGTGGGGGCAGAAGGAAGGGTCTAGAATCAGAAGTGGAGCAAGGATCCTTCTGGTCAGTAGATCAGATGACCAGCCAGAGTCCTTTCCCCAAACTAGGAGGCTACAGGGCTTAAGCTCCCTGTCTGCTCACCTCAGAGAACAGAGAAAAGAAAAGGACTCTCATCAGCCAGAGAGAGACCCATTCCTCCAGTTGTCTCTCCACTCAGACCAAGGACAGGATCTCAGAGCTACTTTCCTGCCCCATGCCCTGGGAGCACGCACGTCAGCACACATCATACATACACTCGCCAGGGGGTCTGAGAAGGTAGATGACTCAGGCCCTGATGTTTGAGCAAAGAACTCAACTAAGGATCCAGGACATGGGGCAGGAACTAGGGCAGCCACATACATGTGGTCTCTAAAATAAGATGAACCGGTGGCAGAACAAGGAGGCCGCCTCTTGGGTAGGGTATGGGGGAGAATACCTCTGGGAATAAGAGTTAAGAGCTGGGGAAAAAAAGGAAAATCCAAGGCCAAGGCAAGGAGAGGACTGGGAGGAAAGGGAACGTGAGAAGCTTTGGCAAGGGAGAAACTGCACGGGCTGCCTCACCATGCTATCGCCTCCAGCCAAGACCAATCACGCCACAGATTCTCTCTGCTTTCTCCTGGTGCATCCCCCACCCCTGATGATCAGAGACTTGCTCTTTTAACCTAATTTGTGGCACCTTACGCTCACTTTTCTCCTCAGAGACCCAGACTACAGAGAATGGCCTCAGATTCTAATAAGAGACTGTCTAAAGCTGAAGTAACAAACGTTTATGGATATATATTTTTTTCATTTTTATTTTTTTGCCATGCCATCAGTTCCCCGACCAGGGATTGAATTCAGGCCACGGCAGTGAAAGCCCAGAATTCTAACCACTAGGCCACCAGGAAACTCCCGGATCTTATTGATTTTTGTTTTTGTTTTTATCACATTGTGTTAAAACACTGGCGACTTCCCTTTAGCTTTGGGTCCAGTCCGATACCAAGATCCTTTATTGTTTTGTGTATCTGATCAGTCTTTTCCTCTATGGGGTGTCAGGGGTCCTTACTGCGTGAAGAAAGAGGGAAGACAGAAGAGAGAGAAAAGGCCCCCAGTTTGTAAGGAATAAAACAGGAAGTGCTGACACAGCAGATGAAGGCTCCCTAATTCTGTGTATTTGGGGAAATTTTTCATTCCATTATCCATTCATCTAGTCAAGAAGCTTGAAATGAGCACCTACCATGTGCAGCGTGCTGGTTTAGCTAGGGACTAGGGATACAGAGGTGAATATGACACAGCTTCTGTCCTTGGAGGACCCCAGAGGATGCTGGGTTCCTCTGCTCCTAGCTGTGCTTCTCCTCCAATCTGTACTCACCCATGGGCACCCATGGCCCAATCAGGAGTGTCCATGCCAGAGCCAAGCGGAAGCCCATGATGAAAATGTTAATAGGGCTCAGTTGTTAGAACACCCTAAAATGGAGACCCTAGAAAAAAGACAAAGGACAGAGAGAATGAGCTCCAGCAGTTCAGGAGAGTCAGGGCCTCTTGAGGCCCCTATGAATCAAGGCCTGGGGCTGGGCTAAGACCAGAGTGTGTAGCAAATGGCAGGAGACTGACTCTCTCCCAAGAATCTTTCATTCACTCAACAAACACTTGATAAGCACCCACTACATAGTGGGCACTGACCTAGGCACTGGAGATTAAGTGATAAACAAAGCAGACAGAAATCTCTGCTTTCCTGGACTTTACTTTCTCAGATTAATTGGAAACCTTGCTTTGACTCAGCTTCCTACCGTGTGTGTGTGTGTGTGTGTGTGTGTGTGTGTGTGTGTGTGTGTGTGTGTTCCTTGGACAGAGTCTTGCTTGGGGGCCAGAGCACTGGGTTGAGGCCAGGATACTGTGCGGCTGACAGTCCACTAGTGTGATCTTAGGCAGGTCACTTATCTGCTCTGGACCTTGGTTTCCTCTTCTGGCTATGTGAGTACACATGCCTGAACTGCCTACCTCCTAGCCTGGTTGCCAGAATCAAATGTGAGAATGAGGTTGAATTCCAAGCAAGAAAAGTGACAGATGTTATGTAAATGTGATATAGAGAGGGTAGGCTGGAGCTTGGCTTCTCTGGGCAGACTCAGGAAGGATGCAGCCCCCGGTGCTTATGTGTTTGGGGCTGGCTTTCTGCTCTCTCTCCCAGGCCAACAAATCACCTAGGGATGACAGGAAAACAGAGGCAGCAGGGGACTCAGGCTGGGACTCCTGAGTGGCGCAAGGAGTGCCTAAGGCCAGTGAAGACCTCCTAAAGGCAATATGGAGAAGGGGGTGGGGTGGGGCTGGGGAACTGTCTAGCAGAGGAAGGTAGGAGCTCAGGGAAAGCCTCATCCCTAGCCAAACCCTCAGGGCTCCTGGACAGGTTGTCGTCTAGTCACAGAGGAGGGAACCCAGAGGATGATCTCCTCCCCGACTTGACATCTCCCATTAAACAAATGAAAAAAATGTAGGCCCAGCATAATTCAAAAGCTCAGCATTCCACTCACTCCACCCCAGTGAAGGGCTTTGGATGGTTAAAGGCAAAAGGCTGCACATGCTGAAGTGGCCACAGTGGTTCTTCCCTGATCCAGGATGTCTTGCCCCTTCCCCCCACCACTATGTCTTCAGGAGTCTGGGCCCCAGCCAGGTGTACCACTCAACCAGTAAAAGCATGCGGTGAGCTTTCAGGCCAGGCTGTGGGGAGAAACTGAAGGGGAAGGTGGACATGCTTCATAACCACTGCTTTTGGGTGGGTAGCCACAACCATTTATGCAGCATCGCTGGTTCCGTAACTTCCCAACAGCCTTGAAAAGAAAGCACAGCCTCATGACAAGGCAGTGAAGCCCCCGGGGCTGTGGTAGAACCAGGAGGGAACACAGGTTGCCTGGTTCTTTCCCCACATGGCTGCTTTCCAGGCCCAAAGCCCTAGTGTCGTGACCCTGGGCTAGGGAAAAGATGAGTCAGCTCCATAGGTGGTCCAACGTGGTCCCAAGGGAGGGCTGAAGGGGAAAGCCTGGACTCTAAATGCCCAGAGTTCCCTTTTTGGCATGATGTGCTGGAACCAGGAGGAGCTCCAGAGAGAGCCCCTAGGCCCAGGCAAACTAGGCCACCCAACATTCCCAGTTCCCAAAGAATCCAGTCTCTCCAAACAGTCTTTGAGGGGGGTGGGGGCGGAGGATAGGACCTCACAGGCTCATTTTAGCCTCAGGTTAAGAACGGAGGCGCAGGGGGGCCAAAGCTAGAATTCCCCTTCCCTCAAAAACGTGGCGGCGCTGGGGCACACGCCACCGCAGTCACCTTCCCCGGAGCGCCCGGGCCCGCGGGCGGGGGATGCCCTCCTGGGTCTGACCTGCGGCCGCGGCGTCTCTCGAGCGCGGACGGCGGATTGTCTCCCGCCGGGCTCACAGCTGGGCCCGCGACTTGCGCTCGGGTCCGTCTCCCTCTCCAGCTCTGCGCCGGGGCTGCCGGGGCTGGGGGGTGAAGAAGGGACCACACGTCCCAGTTCTCAGGCGGGGCGAGGCGGGGCGGGGCGGGGCGGGGTGGAGCGGAAAAAAGCGGGCGCGCCGGGAACCTCCGAGGGGGCTCCGAGGGGACCCAGGAGCGCAAGGTGAGACCGCACGGGTTCGCAAGGCTCAGATGGGGTAGATGTCCAGTCCGTGGCGAGGCTCGGCTAATGCGGCCGAGTGAACGGCGAAAAGGGCAAGTCCGCCTCTACCGGTCTGCTGGGGCTGGGGAGAGGGCAGAAGAGGGGGAGAGGGTGCGAGGAGACGGGGGAGGCGTCCCCCAAATCCTCTCCACGCGGGCGGATCTGGGCTCTAAGACCAAGAGGATCGGTCAGCGCCTGCAGACCAGGCCACGCGTTCGAGCAAGGCATCCGTCCTAAGACCCTTTAAGAGTCCGTGGTAACACCCACCCCCCGGAGGTCCTCGTGAGATCTCGGGGGTCTCACCGCCCTCGAGCGCCTCCCGCGCCCTGCCGGACCCCGGATTGCATCGCTAGGTTTGTACTAGAACTGCCCTGGGTTGTGGGCAAGGGGCGAGGAGAAGCAGGGGTCCGAGGGATGGCTGCGTAGGACATGGTTCTCGTGCACCCGTCCTTTTTCTATCCCAGGCTGGGTGGGCGCGGGCGCAGCGCCTCAGAGCCGCGGGTGCGGTCTGAGTAGGTTGAGGCTATTTGGAGTGGGGGGCTGGGGGAAGGGCGGGAAAGCATCCCGGACCTGGTTTGTCTGGTCATAGTCTAGTACTTAAGTGAGTTAGAAGAGTGGGGGGTGGAAGAGAGCCCCGCCAGGAGAAAGGGCGTGCGCTTTGGGCGACAGAACGTCCAGACCTAGTTCCTTCTCTATCCCATCCCTGGGGGCGCTGCGTGTGAGGTTCCACCACGAGGAGGAGAGCTGCGCGTGCTGCGAGGCACGCAGTGTTTAGAAGAGGCGAAGGTAGGAAACAGCGGTCCGGGTTTGAGTGGCGGGGATGCGCCTGCTGGGGTCTGTGCGGTCCGGGTGGGTTTTGGAGGGTACCTTGAAGTGTTGTCCCCGCCCCGGCCCCTAGAGGCGCACTTCCTGCATCCGCCCAGACCAAGTTCAGATCTAGTGGGAGTTCAAGAACAAAGTATGGTGAGAAACTAAGAACAGGCAAACAAACAAAACAACAACAACAAACTTAATAAGGTTCCAAGGTTTATCTCTGCTTAACTGGAGTCTAGATAGTTTGACTGGCGTGATTCAGCACCCCAAGGCTCCTCACACACCACAGCCCTTATTAGGGGTTCCTACCCCAACGTGCTTTTCAGATCTTGTTCTCTTTCTCCACTTAACTCCCACTTTGGTGCAAAAGCACACATACACACGCCCACACACCTTCTTGAAGAAAAGAGACTGGGACAGGAGTTCTGGACAGGGTCCTCTTAGCCATCCAGAGCCGTAAACTTTGAATGGGGTCCACCCTAACCAGAGAAATAAACCATCACATTCTAGTAGGTCTGTATCACCAATAAGAGCTCTTGGCAACTCCAGGAATGTCACCCACTCCCCCTTTGTAGAGAATTAGTAGTCTTTATGGGTTCTAGAAGAAGGGGAAGGCAGTCAGGGGAAGACTTCAGGAAGAAATCCCTGTGAAGTTACCAGAGGCCACAGAGCATTAAGAAAGTATATAAGAACTTTGAATGCTGAAGTCTGGAGCTTGTACTAGGCTATATTTCCTTAAAAGATTGTAGCCTTATTTCTTGGCCATCCCTCATACACACACAGGAACCCCACTTCTCCTGTGGTAGGTAAGGAATGGGTAACTGTATCTGAGATGCAACTGAGTATGAGAAATGCTTTAGTATTTCAAGGGAGTTCAGAAAGGGAAAAGGTGTCCCTTACCTCTCCAGGCCAGGTGAGAAAGGAGAACCCCCAAAGTGTAGGGATTGGCCCACCCTGTGAGAAAGCACCTCAGTTTTGTCACAGGAGCCTCTGATGCAGCGTTTTTGTGTCTAGAGGTCTGTTACTGGGAACTCCTTCCTTCTTGTGTCTGTATTTCTGTTTATATGAACCTGCAGGTGTATGTCTGACTATATTCTGTGCTTATTTATATTAGTATATATTTATATCAATATAACAATCATGGTAGTCAGCTAGGGGAGAAGTGGTGGAGTGAAGATTGACATGAGATTTCTCTCAGATTAGAAAAATTCTACTGTCAGACCCTCCTTGGCAAGCCAGGGAGGAAGATGTTCCCAAGGGAAACTACAAGCTTTGTAGGAAAAGCAGGATTATTGGGTGTGGGAACTTTTCATTTCAGTCCCACCTCTTCATGCAGGAGGCCTCTTAGCTTAATAATTAAAAACAAATTAGGATCAGGGTCAATAAAAATTAACTTTAAATTGGGCAATGTAGATTAAAGAAGACCTAATTCATTAAACTGAACAAGAAGGAATTAAGGTAAATTTTATTCACCAACTGTCTTTTTGCTTTAGTCAATTTTAATGTTTTGGAGAATTGGAGATAAGTTAACATGTTCTTCTGTGCTTAAGATACAGAAACCCTTTTGTTAGTGTTTCTTTGAATCATCATGTTAATAGAGATGAGCCATTCTTATAAAATATTTTATAACCTCTCTTTGAAATAAATGCAGGAATAATGCTAATACATGACCCTGATCAAAATACATTGCACCTTTATTATTTGCCTATGTTGCAAATATTTGTTTTTGAAATTCCAGCATATAACATTTACTCTTACTTGAATACTATGTATTCAGACTTGCTTTATCTTCCTATATTAACCAAGATATTCTACATTTTATAGCCTTTCCTAAATCATATAGCCTTCCATCAAAATTGTAACGGCTTCAGTCTAGGTGTCATAAATAAAAAATTCTTAGACCAATAAATATCTGCTTTAAAATAAGTATCATTGGGACTTCCTTGGTGGTCCAGGGGTTAAGACTCCACGCTCCCAATGCAGGGGGCCCGGGTTTGATGCCTGGTCAGGGAACTAGATCCCACATGCATGCCGCAACTAAGAGCCTGCATGCTGCAACTAAAAAGATCCCACGTGCCGCAACTAAGACCCGGCGCAGCCAAATAAATAAATAAACAATAAAATAAAATAAATATTAAAAAGATAAGTATCCCTATCACATATTTTACAAAATAATTTAATCCTCAGATTCTTACTTATCTTCAGCTGGAGTTGAAATTTATGTTTCAGATTCAATTAAACATGAACATTCATGCTTTGGAGACTCCAGCTGTTGGAAGAGGCTTTCTGAAAATTTTGTGAAAGCACTAAAAATTGACAGGGTTGGTCAAATCCCTTCCTGTCCAGTCCCTAGCCCTATGTTGGTGATAGTTAATGTTGAATGATTATGAAAGAGGGCAGTGAGGGAGTACAGCTCCCTCTTGTGTGCAAAACAGAAGATGCCTCTAGCAGGGATAGGGACCCGTTCGTTCATATATTCATCCATTCCATCCACAGACTGATTGGTAAGTATATGCTGCATGCAGGGGATGCAAAAATGGAAAGACAAAGTCGTCGCCCTTCAGGAGATTAGAAGCTAATGGGTTCTAAACGTTCAGACAGTTAGAGTGCAGTGTAATTATTGTGATTGTGAAGGTATGTTCAAAATGCAGTCAGAACATTAGAGGTGGGAACATCTACACTGGCCTGATGACGTCAGAGGAAACTTCACAGAGGTGGTAACACAAGCTGAGACTTGATGGGTGAAGAGTTTGCCATGGGAGTACGAGCATTCCAGACAGAGGAAATAGCATATACAAAGGCACGAAGGCTTGAAAGAGCGCGTCAGATTCAGGGAGAGGCCAGTAGTTTAGTATGGCTAGAGATTAGATTGCACAAAAGATGGAGATGGAAGTGCAGGTGGGACCAGATCACAAAGGACTTTGCATGTGATGGTGAGAAGATTAGATTTAACCCAGAGCAAAGAAGTGAAATGATTATATTTGCTTGTTAGAAGAATCGTTGTGGCCCTGGGCCAGATAGGATGAGGCTGAATTAGGGCAGAGGCAGTAGGGAAGGAAATGCCTGGGTGGTTTCAAGAAATATTTAGGAGGTAAGATGGTTCAGCTCTCTGGCTTATTTGATTGGGGAGGTGGTGATGCCACCAAAGAGACAAATAAAACAGAAGAAAAAGCAGAGTGGAGACCGTGAATTCAGTTTGGGACCTGTTAAATCCAAGGCATCCTCGGAACAGCCAAGTGAAATGTCCAGAGGATAGCTGGCCCTTTTGTGTGTGGAGCCCAAGTAGGGGGTCTACATGGAGACATAGATTTGAGAAGCATCAGCCATGGGAATGGATGCACTTGCCGAGGGAATCACGAAGAGTGCTGGAAGAAGAGCGTCAAGACAGAATCCTAGGGAGCATAAATGTTTAAGAGGGGAGAAAGAACTAGCAAAGGAGCCACAGAAGGGTTGGCCAAAGGCAGGAGACCCAGGAGAACATGGTGTCATTGAGGCCCGGGGAGGAAGCCTGAAGAAAGAGGCATTACTACAGAGAGATCAAGAATGATGAAAAGTGAAAATTTCCCTTTAGATTTAGCGCTTGGTAACCTAAAGGAGAGAAGTTGGGGATGGGAAGAAGCCAGATTCACTGAGGAAATAAGGCCGTGGACGTACATAGACTATTCTTCTTCCCAAAAGCCTGGCTGTGAAAGGGAGAGAGTGGCATAAGACAGTAGCTGGAGGGGACCCAAAAGGTCAAGAGAAAGAGTTCCTTTTCTTTGTGTTCTTAAGATGGGAGAAATGTAAGCATATCCTTGAGAGAAAGAGCCAGCAGAGAAAGAGAAGCTGAAAAGTCACCAAGAGAAAGGGGGAGAACTGATGAGAAAGGTGGTGGTGAAGGCAGGCAGGATTGGAGTCAGAGCCCAAGGAGAAAGGAGATACACATTCCTCTGGAATGGGAGAGTTGAAGAGTTAAGGGAAAAAAGCAAAACTTCATGTTAAAACTGAGACAGCGTTTATTTCACTTGCCCCAAAGACAGAATAAACATTTAAACTGTCTCTTTGTCTTTGCCTGATACCATGCTACTCCCCAGAGACAGCACCAGGAGGTGGCCAGCCTAGAAGGAGAGAGAGAGGTTGGGAGCTCCGATGTGTCACAGAGAATCACAGAATTTAGAACTAGAATGGGTCCTGGAGATCATCATATCCAACTGTAGAGGAGGAAGCCAAGAAACAGGGAGGTTGTCATTTGCCTGTCCAGTTATAAAATCAGTCAGTGAATGGGACTTTCCTGTCGGTCCAATGGTTAAGACCCCAGGATTCCAATGCAGGGGTGCAGGTTCAATCCCTGGTCTGGGAACCTAGATCCCACACGCCGTGCAGTGTGGCCAAAAATATTTTTAAATTAAAGAAAAAAAAATCAGTCAGTGAAGAACCGGAATGAGACCCAGAACTGATTCCTGCCCAGGGTTCCCATCAAGAAGGATTGGTGAAAGAGAGAAATGGAGTAATGAAATGTCCCCTCCTTCCCAATCTGGTAGCTTCCATTTATTAATATTATTCTGTTCCAGGTCCTATTCTTAACACTTTACAGACACAATCTTGTTTCCTATTCACAATGACCCTATGAAGTAAACATTATCATCATCATCCCTATTTTTAAAATACACCCAAGTCTCTGTAACTTGAAGAGGCAAAGGCAGAATTCAAACACAGAGCTGCTAAACTTCTAAGCTTATTCTTTCACTGTATCACTTAACCAGACACTACCTGGTCAGACTGTAACTTACAGAGCCTCCTGGGTACCAAGGCCCCAGTACAGATTATACACAGGGAAATGAGCAGAGCTGGGTTCGTTGATTGTAAGATGCATTTTTTTTTCACATTTTGACATCTCTGAAATTGAGGTGTGTTTTACCAGCGATGGCTGTCATTGTTTAATTGGCAGTGTTTTTTCCTCTTTCTTTCTTTGTGGTACTTAAAATAATGGCATGTCTTGCAATCATTCTGTCTGGATTTAAGAAAGCACAGTAAATTTAGGTGCCATTTCCCCAATATCCTGTCTGCAAAGAGACAAACTAGAGCCAAAATAGCTCTGAGATCAGGGGACAGACAGAAAAGAGCTAAGCCAGGGTTTGACCTGAAATGAAGCCTAGGAACTTAAATCAAGGAGGAAGGCTGCTGTTGATGATGTGTGGGGTAGAAGGACATCTGGCCCCAGCACTGTGCCCTAGTGGAGGGCAGGCTCCTTCACTGCCTATTGAGGTGAGCTCAGTTCAGCTTGATTGCTCTCGAGCTGCCAGAACAGGAGCCAGGGTGCCCAGGAAAGCTTGTCAGACCAGCCTGGGCAGTGCCAGGTCTGGGAATCAGCCCTCTGATGATGTAGTTGGATTATATACTTAGCAGAGCTATCTTGCCTTTGTTCTTTGGGGAGTGAGGAGGAAAGCCAACCTTTTTGTATCTGTACCATCTTTCAGCCTTATGCCTTCTCTTGACAGAAAATATAGCTCTTTCTATGTTCTGTGATCCATCTGCTTGTGCTGGAGGCCTGAGGGAGATACAAGAGAATTACATTTCTTAAGACAGTCCCAGAGGAAGCAGAGAAGCCTGGAGGGTAGTGGTGGCACTGGTTTAGGGGACCTGGGGGTTAGCAAGGGAGCATGGAGTGACAGAGACTGATTGCCAAGACCCTTATTCTCTCACAGCTAAAAACACGTGGAGATGGATGGCTGAGGGGTAGCGGAAATGGCAGTAACAGTGACGTCTGGTGAGCACCAGAGAAGAAGGGTGTGGTTTATTCTCTACTGGATCTCTGGCCCCAAGAACAGTGTGTGGCACATAGAGGGCACTCAGTAAACACCTGTTGTTGTAGAGCATCCGCCTCCCCTGAACAACCCCACCAGAATGGCTGCTTTGGGACACACATTCCCCTTCTACGCTGGCCCCAAGCCGAACTTCCCAATGGTCACCACCTTGGCCATCATCATCACCATCTTTATGACTTCACTGGTCACCTTCATCATCATCCTGCCAGGCATTCGGGGCAAGATGGTGAGAAACAAAACCAGCCCTGGAGACCCCAGCCCCAGAGAGACCTCGGCCTCGAGGTGAGGGGGCCAGACTTTCTGATTACAATCAGATTCAGGAAAGAGATTCTAGTCCCGAGAAAGCGTCACCCACCCTCCCAGCAGAGAGCTCCCTGCTCATTGATTCAACAGATAATTACGGAGTATCTATTATGGGCCAGGCACTTTGATCTCTGGTGACCAAGGGACATCAGTTCTAGAACACCCTTCCCGAGTCTGGAAAGAGAAAGGGTGGATTTGGAAGGAGGGTGCTCCATCCTAAACCCGCCCACCCTGTGATGCAGAGGCTGTTCCGGATCCTGCGAGTAGTGACCAGCTTATTCATTGGAGCTGTGATCCTGGGTGAGTGTGGAGTGTAGCTGACTTGGGCAGCTGCCTGCATCCCATCTCTTCTATCCTGGCTCCCTCACAGAGGCTCTGCTTCAGGGTGGGCTTCTAGACCTCCCTGCCCGCACGCCTCCCTCACCCTGGCCTTATCCCCTCACATCTACCTTTGCCCTGACAGGTGCAAGCCTCCTGGATGCATCTCTCCAACCTTCCTAACATATTTATTCAGAGGAAAGCAGGTCAAAATGAATGCCTTTGGGGACAGGGTCTGCGGAGGCTGGAGGGAGAGAACGGTGGAGGGCTGCTTGCTTTGCTTTGGGGATTAGGCGATAGGAAACACAGAAAGTCTCTATGTTGAAGCTCTCTGTGTTTGCCCAGCATGGTTTATTATGTTAATGTTTCCTGCCCCAGCTGCTTGAGTAGTTCTCCCTATATGGGGGCAGGAAGGGAGGACAGGGGGAAGAGGATTATGACCAGGGGAGATATTAGATTCTGACCCATTTATTCATTTATTCATCCCATACCTATTGTTGGCAAACTTACCATGAGCCAGGTCCTAGGCGGGTTAATGGATACACAACTATGAGCAAAACTGACATGGTCCCCTTGCAGCTCTCCCTCTGACTAACCCAGCAATGCCCAGACCTCCCTGAGTTCCTGAACATCAAACTCCCCAACCCCAGCCATGAATTTCAGTTCTGAGTGGTCTGTGGGCCAGGTCAGCACCAACACATCATACGAGGCCTTCAGTTCGGAATGCATCAGCACCGCTGTTGGGCTGCTGCAGATTGGGCTGGGAGGAGTCAACATCACGCTCACAGGTGAGGGGGGGCTCTTGCCTGGGAGAAAGGGAAAGCCTCTGCTCTGCGGCTTTGGGATCTATGTTGGGTGTGGTCTAAAGAGCTCTAGGATCTGGGCGGGGGGAGGTAGGAAGGGAAGTTCTCAGGCCTCAGAAGCTGCCTTCTCTCACTTGAGACCAGAGCCTGGTCTTCTTCCAGTGTGATAAGCCTCTGCCCAGGTAAATACCCACTCTGGCCCTCGGGTCCCTGCTGGGCACAGCTGCTCCATTCCCCAGGGACCCCAATGCAGCAGCTGAACGGAGACTGGCTATTACAACAAGGAGTCCACCTGGCGCCTGGGGGAGAACTACGCCGAGGAGTATGCCAAGGCACTGGAGAAGGGGCTGCCAGACCCCGTGCTCTACCTGGCCGAGAAGTTCACCCCACACAGCCCGTGTGGCCTGCATGGCCAGTACCGCCTGGCGGGACACTACACCTCGGCCACACTGTGGTGAGGGTGGGACGGAGGCCCTGCTGGCCTAGACCCAGGAGTGGGGTTCCTACCCATCTCTCCCCCACTCATGTGGAGACCCCTAGTGGGACAGTCTGGCACCAGTCACCACGGTGCTTGGTTGGGAAGCCCACAGGCAGGAATCCCTACCTCACCTCTTTGGGGTGTCCTCCACCTGGGCCCCTCCAGGTAGACGTTCACCCCAAACAAGGTAGAGGTGCCTGGGCCAGCCTTCCCCTGGCTCTCCAGGGTGGCATTCCTCTGCTGGCTGCTGGCGGATGTGATGCTGTCCATGCCTGTGCTGGTCTACGGTGGCCACGTGCTGCTGGCCACGGGTGTCTTCCAGCTGTTGGGACTGCTCTTCTTCTCCACGGCCATGTCACTCACCCTGCCCTGTCCCCTACGCTTGGGCACTGCCACACTGCACACTCACCGTGGGCCTGCCTACTGGATCACATTGACCACAGGTGAGGCCCAATCCTGAAGGCAGGGATGGGAGGACTCAGGGCTGGGGCCCGTCAGGTCCGTGGGGTTGAGCGTCTGCCTCCAGGGACCGAGAGGCACTTCAGGGGACCTTTCCCCTCTTTAGAGCCCCCTCCGTCTTAGATCCCTCATTGCTGTGTTTCCCCTTCTCAGACCCACAGCCCCTCCCTCCTCATATGTCCCTACTCCCCTGTGTCTTATCTCTGTCATGTCCCTCATCCCTTAACTCTCTGTTCACCCAGCTCTTCCCCAGATCTTACGATCTCATGTCCCCCCTTCCCCCAAACACTCTTCTCTGTGTCCCCCATTCCTAGAACACTTCTCTCTGCCTATTTCACATAGCCTTAAATTGCCCTGCAGTTTTATTGTCCTCTCCTGTCCCACTGTGTCCTGCCCTCCCCCCAGGGTTTCTCTGTTTTCAGAGTTCTCTCTCTCTCTCTCTCTCCTGGGATGTAATTGAAGGAGCACTGGGTTTAGAGTCCAAAAACTCAGAGCAACAGAGCCACACCAGCCATATGACCCTATGCCAGTCACTTCTCGGAGCCTAAGTTGCCCTGAAGCAGGGACGATATAGGCTTCCCTTAAGAGGGGTTCTAATGCTCTTAGCAGAAGATGTCCTTGGGAAGGTGTTACTATCACTAAGGCGGGATACTTGTTGCCTCATCCCCAGGCCTGCTCTGTGTGCTGCTGGGCCTGGCCATGGTGGTGGCCCACAGGCTGCAGGCTTTCTTCAGCCACTGTGGGAGAGGACCCTGTCCTGGAGTGGGATCCTGAGGAAGGGGGACTCCTGAGCCCTCGCTACAGGTCCACAGCTGAGAGTCTCGAGCCCCAGGACATTCCTCTGTCAGAGGCTTCCTCTGAGGTGCCCTGTGAGGAGTCTGACTTGCCCTGGAAAGTTCATCTCCCTGGTGGCCACCCGGACTTCCAATCTGGCTCCAGACTTCACTGGAACCCCCCCTCCAAAACACCACCAGAACTGCCTGCAGGATGGGTTGTATCAGGTTCCCAGCCCCAATGTGTAGGTGGAGTAGGAAAAGAGGCTCTACCTATTGATGTTAAAACATGAAACAAAACAAAAAGCCCTAAGGCAGATGTTGGGGCTGCCATAAACCCTGCTGCCATGCATGATGAGACCAAGCAGGGGCTGCCCCTCCTTCTGCCCAGCTACCCTGCCCTCCCTTGGGGCTTTGCCTCTTCGAGGTGCCATTTACTGAAACCCAGCTCCACCCACATGATGACAAACGTGTACGGGGGGCTTACAGTGGGATTCTCCCATGTTCCCTCTCATCCCTCTTCATCTCTTGTTTTCCTTTTTCCTGGCTCCCTTTTGTTCTCCCTTCACTTCCCCAGCTTGTGTGATCTCTTGGTACAATGAACGTACTGCGAGGGAGGAGAGACCAAACTTCTTGTTCTAGATCTAATATTAACCGATTGTGCCCCATTCTCTCTGAGCTTCAGTTCTCAAATCTGCCAAATAAGACTGTAGGACTTGCCAAGGACCTAAAACAAACAAACAAAAAATCCCGGGGTTTACAGCTTTATGCCTTGCTGACATTTACCTCGGCCTTCAGACACCACCCCTTTAATGAATAAAGTGAAGTTAGTGAATAAACTCCAAAATGCCATTTCTTCTTAGCCCCCTCAGCTGGGCCAGCAGAGGGGGATCCCACAGGGCCAGCGGGGGTGGAGGTGTGGGGGAATGACCTGCCTGGTCACTGCTACCATCCACTTGGGGTAGCTCAGGAAGATGCAGGCTCTGATTGTTCTTCTCTGGGCTCACTAGAGGGCACCCTCTCCCAGACCCTTTCCCGGGTTACTCTGCATTCTTCAGACACAGAGAATCCGGTGTCTGTGGCAAAGCAGAGAAAGAGTGTACTAGGCTGCCTCCAACCCAGGGAAGTCTCCCCAGAGCTCGTATCCCGAAAAGCCTTGAAAAGCCATGGAAAATAATGGGAGAAAGTTTAAAAAAAAAAAAGAAAAAAAGAAGAAAGTTTATTTACAGCTCACGCTGGGAGACTCTTTCCCGGGTGCAGGCGGCACATCTGAGGCCACTGGCCCTTTCCCCCCGCGCCCCCAGCGCAGTGCCCTCCTGGAGCTCCCCAGGCCCGGTGGGCACTGCTCCCCGGCCTGCGGGGGACCAAGGCAGAGTAGGAGTCCGAGGTTGAGTCCCTTTCACAGGTTAGTACTGATGGTTAAGTCTGAGCCCCAGAACTGCTTATGCAGTGGGTTGTTGAGGATGAGAGAAGAGCTCCTTTTCGCCTGACTTTCGAGGCCCTTGACGCTTCCATCCAAGAAGGTGCGAAGAGCGCTGGTCCGAGCGTAGTGGAGACTCAGCACCGCAACTCCGAGGAGGAGGCACAGGATGCCTGTGTTAGCGCAGTCGCGGGTAAAGAGGGCGGTCAGGGCTCCAGAACCTGGCCGCCCGACTCCATCTATTGGAGGTATTTGCGTTTCTTCCCCAGACACACGCACCACGGAAAGACCTCTAATATGGCATACATGATACACGGGTTCGCACGCCACTGGGGCAAGATACCGAACCCTTCCGAACTCCCTTCCCCTCCTCTGTAAAATAGGCACAACAGTGCCTGCCTCTACGAACTACTGAGAGGGGCAAATTAGATAATATATGTGAACTCATTATGCAAACCGGAAAGCGCACGCTGGGATAAATCTCGTCTCTGCCCCCAGACACCCGGGGGCCGGTTCCCTCGGTCCTCACCCGTGGCCAGCGTGATCCAAAAGGCGGCACCGTAGTGAGTGGTGAGCTCGGAGGAGCCAAGGCGGAGCTGGCAGAGAGACACGCTGGAGATGGAGGCGAAGGCGAAGACGGAGAAGAGTGCGAAGGCGCCGGTGATCAGGAGAGCCAGGCCTCCGTAGTGCGGGGCCGGCATGGAGAGCAGCACGTTGGAGAGGAGCCAGAAGCAGAACGCCACCCTGCGGGGAGGGGACCAGTGGAGCTGTGAGCCGGATTCCCCCAGCCCGCTCGGGTTCCCACGGGCTCGCCTCCCCTACCTCCCGGCCCCAGAACAAAAGCCCGGGGCTGGGATGGCGGAGGCGCAGGGAAACACCGGAGGGGAGTAGCCGGCGCCCAGCCATTGCTGCGTCTCTTCGGATTCCCACGGTCTGTACGGACCTCGTGACCATCTGCTCGCGAGGCGGCAACTCTCACCCCAAGCGCGTCGGTCTGTAACTGTAGCTCACATCCTCCGGCTCACATGCCCCCACCCCGACCCCCGCCACGCACACGCACGCGCGCGCGCAAGTACGCAAAGTGTCTTCTTTCCGCGCTCACCACAGCGTGGCCGAGGCGTAGTGTCCCGCCAAGCGGTATTGGCGGTAAACCCCGCAGGGGCTGCTCGGAGTGAACTTCTCCGCCAGATAGAGAACTGGATCCGGCAGCCCCTTCTGCAATGCCTCCGTGTACGCCCCAGCATAGTTTTCGCCGATCCGCCAAATGAACTGCTCGTTGTAGTCGATGGTCTCGTTCAACTGCTGCACTGGGTTCCCTGCGGAGGGCGGCGTCGTCACCCGGCTGCGTACAGCGAGGACCGGGCAACTAAGCGGATTCGGATAGGAGAGTGAGAATCTTGAGAGAAATAGGTTTGGCAGCGGTTGGGGAAAACACAAATCAATGAGAACCAAAAGCTATTCTATATGAGCTTGTGGGAGCTGTCCTCACAGGTCCTCCAGCTGCCCCTGCCTGCCACACACCCCCAACCATGGTGTCTGTCAACCTCAGGAGTTCACTTCGCCGCAGCTCCTCACCTGTGAGTGTAACATTAACGCCCGCCAGGCCCACGTGCAGACCGACGTGGGCTCGGACGCGTGCCGCACTGAAGGCCTTGTAGGATGTATTGGTGCTAACTCTGCCCACTGACCATTCTGTGCTGAAGCGTACCGCTGTGGGGAGAGGCAAACCGTGGGGGAGGGGAAAGGTTAGGGAGAAGATTGGGGAGACGGGATTGGGAGAGTGGTGATGGGAGTTGGGACACTGCACAGAGATGGGGGGGTCTAGGAGTCCAAAGGGATATACACGGTAAGGGTGGAAGAGTGGGCACTAGAAGGAGCCCACTAGAAAGAGAATGGGAAGAGGGAGCGGGAACCCATCCCCAGTTCTCCATTTTCCCAGGTGCCCTCAGGCCACCTCCTTCCTCACCCCAGGTCCTCTCCCCCTCCGCTGCATCACACACTCACCCACAATTTCTGCTCCTATGAACAGGCTGAGGAGAACTCTCACCAACCAGAACCAGCGCTGCAGGAACAGGAACCGGGTCAGGCCTGGGTACTGCCCAACCAGAGTCCCCAAGCTCTCCATTGACCCCATGCCACCCAGGTCTTTAGTGCTTCTGCAACTTCCCTCTCTTGCCCACTTTTCCCAGTTACATTCCTGACCTTTAAAGGCTGAAGGCAAGTCATGCAAGTCCCTCTGAGCCACTGGCATTTTCTAATGTTTTTTGGCTGCATGATTCTGCCTCCCAGCCCCATTTTCCAGTCCACCCTGCAACTGGGCTGTCTCTATCTGCTGCTCTCCCACCACCTTCATCCCCTTTCCTCTTCAGCCCTGGTCCCACCTCCTGCTTGGGTCACTGCCATGATGAGGCTCAGTGAGTCCAGAAGTGCTAGGCAGGCAGCGGTCACCTCCCTCAGGAGAGGGAGGCCTCAAGGTCTGGTCACCAAGTAGAGGAGGTGCGAACACAACCTCTCAGATATTACTAGGTGTGCCAGTTTCCCAGAAAACAAACACAAGACTCAGGGAGGCTAGGTCCTCCTAGACTTGAAAAACAGACAACTTAGGCTCTGGGAGAGGAGGGAATCTAAGAAAAAGTGCCCAGTCTGCTACAACTTCGAAGAAATTTCTGTGGAGATATCTCTGTCCCACACACATGACTCAACCCAGTGCACAGGTGAAACACAGCAGTATGAGTTGCTGGTTTCTGTCCTCTTGGCCAGAAGGTCATCACCTGAGGTCGGGATGGGAGTGGGATGGGAGTGGAGGTGCAGCCTGAGGAGAGGCAGGAGACCCCTGCAGCATGTGAAGACTAGAATTGGCCCCAGGATTGCTGGACTGGGCACCCACTCTCTGCAGCAGCCTCCTGAATGTTCCAGCTGGGGTCAGCCTCTGGATATCTTGTATGGGACCTCTCCCTAACCTTGGGAAGGGGTGCTTGCTGGGCCAGACTTCTGCCTATGCTCCACCTGTCTGGTTCAGTGCTTCAGTGCATGGAAGATCTTGCCGCCGTCTTAACTGTCCTATCCTCCAGAGACATGCTATCCTTGACGCCCTCCACCCCCAGACCTAAACTTCTAGTACCCCCTTACCGAGTGGCCACGAATCCCGGGTAAGATGAGTAGGAAGCTGGCAGCCAAGGCCAAGAACACCAGAATGACAATGAGTAGCGGGACGCTGATGCCGGCGGCATGCCGGGGCTGAGGGTAGAAGGGCAGAACACCGTTCCACAGAGTCATGCTGCAACCCGGCCGAGCTGGGTCTGTTCCAACGGGGAGAGCGGTCACTGGCGTCCGAGCCCGGATCCCACTTCCCTTTACCCCGTTCCCTGCGTGCGAGGACTGGACTCAATAGACAAGTCAAGTCTGAGCGCCTCGGCTTGCCCCTAAGGAAGCGCAGAAGCTAGCTGCCCTCAGACGCTCTGGGTTGGCCGGGACGGAGTTAGGTAGGTGGGAGGGCCAGCTCTGCGCGTTCACTCTGCGTTTGGAAGTCGCACAAGACCTGAAATCCTTTTTATAGCAGCCTGGGCAGCGTGCCGAGCCATGTCGGGGCTTTGCAGCCAGGTCCCAGAGGGATAAGGTCATGCAAATGAGAGGCGGAGGTTGCTATGCAAATGAGAGGAGCCCCACCTGCATAGCAAGAGGGTGAATTCCAGTCCAGATGCTCACATCTGGTGCTGGTCTGGCCTGAGTGGACACCTGCACAGCTGGCCTCAGAGGACCCAGAGAGGAGGGTGAGAATGAAGCCGGGGAGGCTGAGGATCTGCGGAGCTGGGGAGGAGTGGTGGGGGAGAGGCAGAGAGCAGAGCAGAGAAGCAAAGATTCCAAGAAAAAGAAGACTTCTGACCCCGATGGGGGCCCTAAGCCAGAGGTCTGAGTGGGACTTGGGACCTGATCTTCCCATCCCTCATGTCCATGCACAGGCATTCACTGAGGGGTACGAGGGACTGCAGGTTCCAGATTCCCAGCTCACTAGCCACGTTCCTTTCCCTGCCTCCTCTAGGAGAAGCAGTTCTTGAGGGGTAGGACTCGAGGCTTTGTTCGGGACCTGGGAGGCTGGAGGTAAAGTCCTGCCAGGGACTGACAAGCCCCAAAGGATTTGTGCCTCCCGGGTTCCTGTGTGTGATCGGGGTTAGTTCTTCCACGGGGTGGAGGGTGGGGACCAGTGTCACTGCCTTGAGGGCTGCTTATGCGTTTAAAAAAGTGCCCCGCAGGTGCGGGTACTTGGTGACGTTTCTAAAAGCTTCGATCCAGAAGTGGACACGGCTGGTGCCTCCTCCTCCTGTGCCAACTGTCGGTGTGGGGGACGCCTGCTCCGTGTCTCTATGTACCACCTCCCACCCTTTTGGCCACAGGGTCAGCATGGTCCGTGCAAGGCCAGAGGCCCTGGTGCTCCTGGGAGCTCTGCTGACTGCACTCCTGGACCCAGCGGGTAAGTACCAGGTGCCCCTAGTTCGGGATGTCTCCCAGTTTCCCTTGGGAGTTGGGGAAGGGAGACGTGCAGGCAAGCGGCTTCCTGAGGCTGGAAGATCGGGTGAGATGGCTGAGCGGCTAAGCCAGATGGGAAACTTCCTGGCGCAGCCTAGACGCCGGGCGAGTATCGCCACTTGGGTCGGGTTGGGGGCGCTCGGCGGTCTGGAGAAGCACGGGCCGAGGCCGTCGGGTCCCAGAGGGGTCGCAGGGAGGCTAGCACTGAGTGGACCACCCTCTGACCCACAGGAGGCCAGGGCTCAGTCTCGCTGACCTGGGAAGTGCA